AGGGTACTCTCCATTTTTTCTCGTATGGCAGGGCTCCACGGCTACCAGTTGACCTACTTTTCCACCAAGGCAAAGACACTGAGGCACAAAACCACCAAACGTTCATTCAAAAGTGGGCTGAGAGGATGCGAGTTGCTTACCAAATAGCTGCAAATAACAGCCGGCAGTCCTCAGCCAAAAGCAAGAAGCAGTACGACAGACATGTAAGAGGTGCCACCCTCCAGCCAGGTGACAGAGTACTGGTGAAAAATCTGTCAGAGAGAGGAGGGCCAGGAAAACTGCGCGCATATTGGGAGAAAGTGGTACATCGCGTGGTGGAGAGACTGGGAGATGGACCCGTCTATAAGGTACAGCCAGAGAGAGGTAGTAAAGCCATGCGGGTTCTTCATAGAAACCTTCTACTACCAGTGAACGACTTACCTTTCGAGGAAGAACTTCCTGTGGAAGAAAAGACAAAAGCAAAACAGCAAAGACAACCTGTAGGAAAGGTCCATGAAACAGCGACAAGTAGCTCTGATGAGGAAGGCAGTTATACCTACCACTACGGCCTCCGGAGCAAGATTCCCTGCTACAGACTCGTGAACCCTCAACAACAAGGACCTGCCATTCAACAGGAGCAACCTCAGCAACAGGAAACTGTCATTCCAAAGCAGAAGTCTAACAGTGAGCCCAAGCTACGTGCGACAGCAAGAGAGTTCTGCCCACTTGACAGGCCAGAAGATGGGGGAGAACAAGATGTTGTAGAAGCTGAGGAGTTAGCAGAAAAAGGCAAGGAGGAAAGTGATGGAGAAAACAGAGAAAATGACTTTGTAAGGAGGTCACAAAGGAGGGGGAGACCAGCGGAAAGACTCACGTACAACGTACTGGGTCAGCCATCATACTGCCACTGGAGGGCAGATATGAACACCCTTTCGGCTAGCCAACCCTGGATGTGGACACACAGCGTCCCATCATTCTTTCACCCCATCTATTCACAGCTGTACTACCACAATAACTTCGCACCCATAAACTGATGGGTCCACACATGAAGAAACAAATGTCAGGAGCCATTCCTTGAAGTGGGGGAGAGTGTAGAGAGTTGAAAATAGCTTTCTAGTAAAATCTGGTATCAGAAATAAGATGGAGAAAACAGCCCCGTATCAAAAAAAGCGGGGGGAAACAGCCCCCCCCCCCCAAAAGGTTGTTGTTATGATTGTATGTGTGTACCTGTCAGTTTACAATGCTATTCCGCATACAGCCGCTAGAGGGCGCATTACGCGCAGTGGTATCGAGTAGCGTTTTGGGGCACAGAGGAAGAATAAACCTTCCTGTTGTGAAACTGACATCAGCTCAACGTGTGTCCCTTTTTCTATTCTTTATCACAGGTTAGTAAAGGCATTTAAGTGAATGTATACTGCAGACCTTACAAACAGAGTATGTTGTTTATGTGGGTAATGAGCGCAACTCGCTAAAGAAATTGGATTCGTTCTGAGTTGTGTCTGAACTGTGGGTTGAGGCTGCGGGTAAAATGATGCTAATGCTAGCGGACTGGGTTAATGTGGGATACTGAGTGTGTGTGGGGAAGCTAATCGGACTTGTGAGAGACTTCGGGACTGTGAACTCTTAAGGTGGTAGGCACTCTGATAAATTGGTTTTATGCTACGTTTAGTCTTCTGGTTGATGTTGTGGTTACAAGAACAAGTTTGTGGTTTAAGATGAAGACAATTATAGAGTGTTATAAGGAAACTGTTTGATCAATGCTGACTGCACAGTAGTAGTGAACGCCGTTAAAGGAGCATTGCACTCTATATAGTTGTAGATTGTATAAGAACAGTGGAAATACATTTCACATAAATAAGTTAGTGCTGAACGAGAATTAAAATATTTAAAAATGAGTTAATTTCATGATGTTGTAAATGTAGTTAAAACAAAGTACAGAGTACCCTATTGTGTTTTGTTTATCTTGGTGAAATAAATGTGTTCATTGTGATCCATTTTGAATCTGATGTTGTAAATGGATTTAAGCCACCCTTTGTTCATGTTTTGTCAAAATTGGAGAGAAGAATAAACCTTCCTGTTGTGAAACTGACATCAGCTCAACGTGTGTCCCTTTTTCTATTCTTTATCACAGACACACGTTATTGAACAGGAAACCAGTTGCCCCTCTGGTCATCATCTTAGGGAGGCAACATATGCGGTAAAAGAAAACCCAGATGGGTCAGAGTGTCAAAGCAAGATATGTTGCTAAAGGATATAGACAAAAAGATGGAGTTGACCATGAAGAAACTTTCTCACCAACAGCAAGTATGACCTCTGTTCGAGTGTTGATGCAGGTGGCGGTGCAGGAGGATCTTGTGCTAAACCAGATGGAAGTGACAACTGCTTACTGCCATGCTCCAATGGACTGTGAAGTATTTATGGAGCAATCAGAGGGTTTTGAGGTGAAATCAAAATCAGGATAACACTTGGTATGTAAACTAAACAAGTCATTGTAGGGTTTAAAACAATTGGGTCGTAACTGGAACATGTTACTGCACGAGTACCTGATGGAAAATGGTTTTGTTCAAAATGATGCTGATCATTGTGTCTATCACAGAGAGTCAGAGGATGGCAAGGTCATCATATTAGTGTGGGTAGACGACTTGGTCATAGCTGCAAGTACTGATGTCGCACTCAGCAATGTGAAAGCCATGTTGAAGAAAAGGTTCAAAATGAAGGACATGGGTCTGCTTAAGCATTTTTTGGGCATCGACTTCACACAGGATAAGGGAGAGATTAAAATGTCTCAAAAGAAACATATAGAAAAAGTGCTGCTGAAGTTTGGAATGTCGGATTGTAAACCAAGAGCCACCCCCTGTGAGCAGCAGTTACAGTTGAACGATGATGGTGAGGTTGTTGATCCCTCAGGATATAGGGAAATTATAGGTAGCTTGATCTACATTATGACATGCACTAGACCTGATTTAAGCTGGATAGTGAGTAAACTGTCACAGAGTCTAGCAAAACCAAAACAACAGTATTGGACATTGAGGTACTTAAAGGGGACTTCTGATCAAGAATTGCATTTTAACAAATGTGAGCAGAACTTAAAACTTGAACGATACAGTGATGCTGACTGGGCAGCTGATAAAGATGACTGAAGAAATACTACAGGATATTGTTTTAGTTTATCTGAAAAGGGTCCGGTTATATCATGGAAGAGTAGAAAACAACCTACAGTTGCACTATCAACATGTGAAGCTTAGTACATGGCATTAGCTGCCACAACACAAGAGAGTATGTACCTTGTACAACCACTGAAAGGGATAGACAGTGGTAACAGACACATACCCATCAGAATATATGGAGACAACCAGGGAGCAATAGCGTTATCCAAAAACCCAGTAACCAGACACAGGAGTAAACATATAGACATTAAATATCATTTTGTACGATCTGCATACAATCAGGGAATGATAAACATTGAGTACTGCTCTACGGAAAACATGCTTGCAGATATATTCACAAAGTCAGTACCAAAAACAAAGTTTGAGACTTTTAAAGAGTACTTGTTTGGACACTAATGTGAACTAGGAACACTTGTGATGTACTGAAGATACACACAAAAAGGTGAAAAAGAAAAACAAGAGAAAATGGAGAAGGTTAAGCCTGTTTTTCTATTTTTGTTATTGAGGTTATTATTGTATGTGTTTTGTGTATTAATCATTTTCGTTTGGTACAATGGGGAGTCATTGTGCATGTCTTTGAGTTGGAGTGTTGAACATGATGTTTGTAGCAAAGGCATGTCACATGACTTTTGTGGATGACATCACATGAGCTGTAGGTGCCTGCGTGAACCTGGACGCTATTTAAGTTGATTATGGACAATAAACGGGTGTGAGCTCTCTACCTCAACCCAAGCAGGAGAAAGATGGCGTTCTGTGTTTTCTTTACCTCCGGTGATTAAGGAATACACGATTTAGCTATCCATCTTGGTGGCAGGTATCACGCAAGAAAGATGTCTAACGTAACACAGTCCATATTAGATCTCACATTCAGCCTAGAGACGAGTCCGCGGGCGGCAACACCCCCCACCCCACCGCTCTCCTAATGGGGAGGGCCGACACGAGGGCCGACGATTCGTAAAAATGCCAGGGCTGAATTTTGGTCCCAGTCCACCCCTGTCAAGAAGTCAGCATCCAGTTTTACCCCAAGACTAGATACACACTGCTTTGGGTTAAAAACTGTAAAGTCAAAGGCCAGATCATATCGGGGGGGGGGGGGGGGGGTGGGGGTGGGGGGGGGGGTGTCACATATAATTGAAAGGCGTCAACATAAATGTGATAATTTAGAGTGTGCCATTCCAGGATTTTGGCCAACGGTAAGCGATAAATGGAAAAGATTAGAGGTCCAAGTACAGAGCCCTGAGGCACACCCCAAAGCAGCGAACGACAGGGAGAGGTACAGTCTCCAATCTGAACAATGAATGAATGGTTCGCTAAATTAGAGCAGAACTATTCAAGAGCAGTACCTGCCAGCCCCACCCAAGACTCAGATTGGTCCAAATCTATACTTTATAATGATGATTGCTAAACACACACACACACACAGAGAGAGAGAGAGAGAGAGAGAGAGAGAGAGAGAGAGAGAGAGAGAGTTGTTTTGCACACTGACGAAGGTCTCAACGGGACCAAATACTAAATTAGCTGCAAAAAGCAGCTATCGGTCCGAACCTTCTCAGCCAGCGTTCCTCTGCCTTTTGGCTGCACCTCCCAATTATGTCCATAAAAGGCATGAACAGAATGCAACAAATTTGAACACTTACTGAGAACATGTCTGACTCATGCAACCTAATTGTGTCTCCAGTTGTACTGCAGTGGGCTGGAAACCCCATACTCTCAATGGAAATTATCATAAGCTTTATTCAAGTTAAAACACAAGAGGAGTTGGGTAAATCCCACACACCCTTAAGGAACACTGCAGTAGTACAGAGCTAGTCCAGTCTTCCATGACTGGGAGGAAAACTATAAATCACTGCCCACCTGTTCATCTGCATCATTCACCACAACCAGACCAGCTCCTCTGCTCCTGCAGTCCTCTCTGCCTTTATCCCAGGAACCACGGTTTGCAGAGAGGAGGTAACAGGTACAACTAATCATTCTCCATCCTGCAGGACATTTTTTATCTAAGAGATAAAGCCACATGTTTAAAGACATTCATATTTACCTTTTAATTCATGGTTGTACACACAACAACTTTAGTTCAGTTGTCACACAGATCCCTTTAACTCATTTAAGAATTAAAAGTCAAAATTTTTGCCTGTAAACTCTTTTTATCAAAAGTCAGAGACAGAATGGCAGCAAAGGGAATGAGAAGATGCAGGACTGATCGCCCACAAGCTGGACATTTTAGTTTGATTTTTCGTCGTCCTATATGGGACACAAACACAACCTGAAGAAGACTTGCCTTTTTTGGACAACATCTTAAGTTCAATGAGCTCTTTAGTCATTTCAGTCAGGTTGGCATTCAGCAGATCTCTCTCTGCAGTCATGTTGGAAAGTTGGTCCTGACTGGTCTGAAGACGCTTGGTCAGATTGTTATTGGTGATGGAAAGATCCGATGTTATGTCAACCAAACCGTGGGCTGAGAAAGAAAATCCAAGAAACGTTGGTATTTGACTCATAGCAGTCCCTCTGGGGTTTTTTCTAGGCTGGTGAGAGTTAGAGAGTTAATTTATAACAATCAAACTCACAATGAACACCAAGGATAACGAGTCCAAGCAGCAGGAAAACATTCAGGAGTCCCAAAAACACCAAAACAGCTACACCGCTTTTCTTCTTAGATCTGCATGAACCTTCACACAGAAAATACAAGCAAACTCAGAAATCTGAAGATATAATAACTGCATAATATGCTTTTCTATGTCAGGTTTTCTTACCTCTGTGATTTGTTAAAGGATTTTGATGAATACTTTTGTGAAGTTCAACATTTTCGTAAACTTCCTCCATTGTTTTAATTCGTCCGCTGTCAGATCTGCATCAGCAAGTCAGAGGGTGAAGAATGTCAAATGATTTTGGTAAACATGGTTTGAGGAAGTGAAAATGTCAGAGGGGGTAAAAATGACTTCTTGACATCCCTCCCAAATTGTTTTTTATCTTACTTTTGGGAATGAAGGAAATGAAAGTAACTGTGACTGTATATAAATTCATATAAATCATTTTTTTGCAATGCATAAATTATCTGAGAGATATTTGAAAAATAAAGATTTTATAGCTCAGAAAACTGAGACATTAGTTGGAATGGTGACTTTATATGATCAATTAACTACTATAAACTGTTGACTAAGGTGAAAGATTTAATTTTCAGGTAACACATCATTTATTTTAAAATAAGCCAAATTCTACTTCTGATAAGGGTTAGGGTTACTTATTCTCGTGTGTGTGTGTGTGTGTGTGTGTGTGTGTGTGTGTGTGTGTGTGTGTGTGTGTGTGTGTGTGTGTGTGTGTGTGAGTGTGTGTGTGTGTTGGGGGGTGAACTAGATGTTTGAGCTGGAAGCAAACAAAAAAATAGTGTGATGATGTGATGATCATATCTTTTGTGCCGAGGAAGTAAGTGTTAAAGATTAAAAATAGCACAACACCCTGTTCCTCTTTCTACTTCTATAACATTGCTCAATGTGTAGGGGGAAAAAAAGAAATTTAAACTTCCATAATTTTCAGTTTTCTCGACTCGACTCAAATTTTATTTTATAGCACTTAACAGACACAAACATAGCACCAAAGTGCTTATCAGACACAGGCAATTACACAACACATACAATCTAATGTCAATCACCAAAACAGCACAAGCAAATAAAAGCATGAAAGTGATAAACAAAAAATAGCAGCAACCCACAGAGTTAAAGCCGGTTCATAAAAGTTGGTCGTCAGCTTAGATTTAAAAACTGCTGCATAGGAGGACTGCAGAATATGCAGTGGAAGCTCGTTCCAGAGGTTTGGAGCTTCTACTGAAAATGCTCTGTCCCCCCACATCTTCAGCCATAACCTGGGAAGCACGAGCAAGGACAGATCTTCAGAACGGAGTGCCCGAGCAGGAACATACAACTGCAGCATATCTGATAAATACGCTGGAGCCAAACCATTCAGTGCTTTAAAAACCAATAAAAGAACCTTAGAGACAAGTAGCCAATGTAGAGCTATCAGTATTGGTGTAGCATGTTCAAATTGTCTTCCGTCCAAAAATCTCCTGGCAGCAATATGGACAAGCTGCAGACAAGCTAAGGCACTCTGACTCAGTCTGAATAGAAAAGAGTTACATTAGTCCAGGCACGAAGTTATGAATGCATGCACAACAGTTTCAAGATCATATCTAGACAAGAATGGTTTAACTTTAGCCAAGCGTCTTAATAGAAGGAAGATGCCACAACCCCATTTATGTGGAATCTATGTCACACCCTGTACTGTCTCCCTATTCTGTTCAGTCCTGTGTCCATGTTAATTGCTCCCACCTGCCTCTCGTCTCCCAATCACCCAAGTTCCCAGCTCCTCCTGTATTTAAACCCTGTTAGTCCATTTTGTCTGGTTGGTTCATTGTTTCATTATCCTGCGTGTCTCATTAAAACCCTTTAAATGTTCCTGTCTGCCTGCCTGCCTCCTTCTTCACCCGCGTGTGGATCCTCACCTCCGTCTCCCTCACCGGCACGTTGTGACAGAATGAACCAACCCAGTAAAGGATCCAGCGGGGAGGTTCTTCCTTGGGAGTGTTTGCTCCAGTTTTTAACCGCAGATCACCGGCCGGCTTCTCCTCCTCTGGTCTCGTCTTGCTGCGGACGCCGTCGCCGAACCCCGGCTGCGACGATCGCCTCCGCCCTCCCGGAGCTAGATGTGGGGTTGGACCAGGAGACGCAGCTAGACTGCTCCTGCTACGTGGGCACCAGACTGGCTGTGTGCTCCCCCGGAGCTGGCCCACAGCGTTGGGAAGGATGCCGGGCTCCACCGTCATCCCTGGTACCGCCAGCTTGGACCCGCCCCCAGTCAGACCAGCAGTCCCGTCTCCAACCCAATCAGCGCCTCCGTCATCTGCAGGTGGAGGAACCACGCCTACAGCCCAGCTGACAGAGCTCGCCGGCCTCCAGGTGGAGCTTGGCCGGATCCGTCAGCTCGTCAGCCTCCTGGAGTTCCAGCTGGACACCCTATCCTCCCCGAATCACCAGGAGAAGGTTCCGGTCCAGTCTGCAGCTCCCTCATCTCTTGGCCAAAGGATCAAGCCCCAGTCCACCCAGGAGAGCTCGCCGGTCTCCGAGCTGAGCTGGCCCAACTCCATCAGAGCCTCAGTCTCCAGGAGCTCCAGCTGGACAATCTATCCTCCCTGCTCTCCCAGTTTCTGGCACCACCAGTTCAGTCAGCTCCAGTTCCAGTGGTGGTCCCGGAGGTCTCACCGCATCCTGCTCCAGTGGTGGTCCCGAAGGTCGCACCGCATCCTGTTCCAGTGGTGGTCCCATTGGATGCACCACATCCAGTTCCTGTGGTGGTCCCGGAGGTCGCAACGTGTCCTGTTCCAGCTGTGGTCCCGGAGGTCGCACCGCATCCAGTTCCTGTGGTGGTCCGAGAGGTCGCACCGCATCCATTTCCAGCGGTGGTCTCGGAGGTTGCACCGCATCCGGTCAGCCTGTCCAAGCGGTCCCATCTGCAGCAGCTCCTCCTCCACTCCAGAAGCTGACGGTCCGGAAGCCGACAGTCCGGAAGCCGACGGTCCGGAAGCCGACGTTCCAGAAGTCGATGGTCCAGAAGTCGACGCCCCCGGACCAGAAGTTGACGTCCCCGGAACAGAAGTCGACGCCCCCGGACCAGAAGTCGACACCCCCGGACCAGAAGTCAACGGTCCAGAAGCCGACGCCCCCGGACCAGAAGTCGACGGTCCAGAAGTCGACGGACTAGAAATCGACGCCCCTGGACCAGAAGTCGACGCCTCCGGACCAGAAGTCGATGGAGGTCGACGCTCCCAGTCCTGAGGTCGACTCCCCTTCCAGTCCTGTGGTCGACGCTCTTTCCAGTCCAGAGGTCGACACCCTCTCCAGTCCAGAGGTCGACGCCCTCTCCAGTCCAGGGGTCGACGCTCTTTCCAGTCCAGAGGTCGACGCATTTTCCAGTCCAGAGGTCGACGTTCCCTCGTGTCCAGAATAAAAAGTGAAAAAAGCTAAAAAAAAAAATAGCAGTAAAAATCCTCCAAGCTTCACAGCTCCAGAAACAGACAAGTAAAGTGTCCAAAAAATACAGTTTTTCATGAGAAACTAGAAGAAAATGCCCAAGAAAAGGCAAAACTTACATATAGTCAACAGAGCTACTCCAACATGCAGCCGCCCCGAGCAGCGCAGTTCCGGAATAATCGGATAATAATTATTACAGTTTTTCTCCATTGGTTTGGCTCATTTCTTGAAACAGAAATTACATTCTCAAAATAACATGGACAAACCTCCAAACCTCTTGGCAAATGTTCACAACAGAATGGCTCTTGTCATTCATTTCATCAAATGGCAAATGCCTTAGTACATGTCTCAATTGTCTCAGTGCATCTTTGCAAATGATTAAGTACATGTAGCCTACAGTTATACAGTTAGCCCACATTAAGCACACTTTCCAAATGAATAGATCTTGTAGAACTAAACTGATTGTATATATTCACTCAACAAAAATACCAACACAACACCTTTGTTTCTGCTCCCATTTTTCATGAGATGGACTTAAAGATCTAAAATTCATTCCAGATACTCAATATTACCATTTCTCTCAAACATTGTTCACAAATCAGTCTAAATGTGTGATAGTGAGCACTTCTGCTTTGCTGAGATAATCCATCCCACCTCACATGTGTGCCACATCAAGATGCTGATCCAACATCATGAGTAGTGCACAGGTGTACCTTATACTTCCCACAATAAATGTCCCAGTTCTTGCTTCTAGACCTGCAGAAAAAGACAAAAAAAAAAGCAAAAGGACAAAAAAAAGGGGACACAACAACAATACAACAAGATCTAGCTATCATTGCTTAACTGAAGAATCACGATAATAAATCACAGTGCATTAAGTGCCCACCATAGTCTTAAGACCTGTGTTTAACATTCCCAAGCCCATACTTTTGAGAGCACCATGTGAGCACCTGTGTGTGTACACACGCTTGTTTATGTAAGGTTTCTCTATAGGAGCGTCCAATAGAGAGTGTGAGGGACCACAGATCCGCCCCCCAAAGATGCGCAGGAGACGGGGGGAGCTCCAAGTCCCAGAGATCCAGGCGCTGCCCCAGAACACAGGAAACCCAAGGAGACTGCAACCAGAAAGGCCCCCGCCCCCCTCGAGAGGCACAGAGGATCGCCCCGGGGGGCCGCAACCAGCAGCCGGCAGAGTCCCGGGAGACATCAGCAGCAAGCCCACAGGCCCGCCCGCAGCCTCCCACCCCCTAGCCGGCCGAGCCCGGGACCCAGCAACCCAGGACCCAGGGGCGACCACCCCCGCCGGGGACCCAGCAGAGCCCAGGGACCCAGACCCCACCAGGCAGCCACCGGGATCTATCAGGCAGATGCCAAAATCTTAAACCCCCAGACCCGGTTGCCACGAACACTCAGGCAGACCACAGCACAACCCCTCACACCAGGTGTGGCAGGGGGAGGGGGGACTAAGATCTATATCATCAAGAGAAGTTCCAGGAGAGGGGAGGAGTCAAAGGCCCCACCTGACATATACAGTCATAAAAACACAGTCACACGCTCCCTCCCTCATGCTCACACATGCACATACAACCCAAGACTTACAAAAATGCACGCCGGACACCCACTCATGCTCCTCATACACACCCTATTCACTCTGGTCCTGGTACTGCTGCACATGGGGTACAACCATCACCGGTAACCAGAGTTTGACCCTTTCTGCTGGGGTGCTGACGAGCAGGCTCCCCCGCCCAACGCTGAGCACAGCAACCCACCACCCCAGACCCCAACCAGAAGGCCAGATCCCCCTCCTAGCCTCCAGCCCCAGGAAGCCTAGCAACAACAGAGGTGGCAAAGACCCCTAGTCTCCCTTCGCCTGCTCCAATATAGTGTTGTGTAATCATGAGGTGTATTCCATGGCTGTGGTGAGTGGGCAGTGCGGGCATCATCCGGCCTATGCCCGCTGATGCCACCGCACCACCCCACTCACACCTTCAGCCATCAGTGTCTAAGTGCGGTTTAAAATTGGAAGTGGGCACTGGCATTTAAAATTGGAAGTGGGCACTGGCACTTATTTGCGCCTGATGCGTTTCGCTGTGGAGCGGGGCGCCTTGTCCTCCGGTGACGCACCGATCACTGATGCAGCCGGCAAGCAGCGAGCACTCTGCTGTTTTAGCGGTCGGTAGATCTTTTAGAACTGCAGTTCAAAGGTAACTCATAAGGTGAATATATATGAACCCAGTTAGCAGTTTCTCTTTAGGATTGAGAGGAGATGCAGGAAGATAATAAACAGACAGGACAGAAAAATAGTCAAAATAAAACAAGTTAGTTTTTGTACCTGGTGGTTGCAACAAACAGACACCATTGAAGGTAATCAGAAGTGAGGAACAGAAAATGAAATAATTCTTTTAATGTTTAGAGCAGCAGGAACTCCGAGAGGCTGCAGGCGCATCAGTGAGTTTGCGGCCGCTGCGCAGGGGGAGGGGGGAGAGGGCTGAAGCAGAAACTACCGTTGTTAAAAGAAATGTGTTTAACTTTGAAAATGTGGGCGCAATTTTAATTGTCAAAAACTCCAGTGAACCATTAGTTCATTTTGCTCAAATAGAAATAGAGGCTTGCCTCTAATACTGGCCCTCCTTCCAATAAAGGCCTGGAGCTTGATGAGCTTGAGTCAAATACAGGCCCGGGCCTGTATTAGAGGATTTACGTTATATATATATATATATATATATATATATATATATATATATATATATATATATATATATATATATATATATATATATATATATATATACATGTGCTTCTGTAGCCGACAAATGGAGCTAAAACACGTTGTTTTACGAGTAATATTCTCATCTCATGTTGTGTTCTCATATATTTATATATTTAGGGACTTACTTGTCCATGAAATGTTCATCAACTCTGCATCAGCTGAGGTATTCCTTAAATTTGAGACAAGTAAGCAGTAGTCTAACGCTATTGGTTAGTTCTGGTCGGCACTCAGTTTCCTATTGCATGGAGCTCTGCGGGACAGGGGGCGTAGTTAGCACAAAAAAAGACGTATTGCTTACATTATATCTCAGTACATGATGAGATAATCACTTTTACATATTTCTGACAAATCATACATAATTTCTGAAAATGGAACACTCCAGAAAGCTGTTTTAAGTTCAAAGGAGATGGTTTCTTTCCTGATTTGGCTGAATCGGGAGTCAGCTGGAAACTGAATTAATCAGTAAGTAATTCTTGTTTTATTAAACTACCATTTTATAAGTTTTGGCCAAGTTTTGGCAAATCAGAATTTGACACGTTTCTGAGCATTTGCCACCATCCCTCAGAAAGCCATGCCCTCCTCAGATACAAAGATTTCTTAACACTGTGAATAAGAATGTTCAAAACTCTTATGTGAAGTGAATATTAACCTTAATATGTATCTTATTGTAATGCGTGTGAGTGTAAACAATGATTAACTAGTTAAATCAAACGCATAGTTATTTGTGATATAAATGGATCATTGTAAGAACATTATAGTTTATAACCAGTAATACCACACAACGACTCGGCCACTACGAGTGTTAATTCAATCACACGTTAAAAATTAAGGTTAGACAATGTTGGAGTTGTGCCAGCCTGCATTAAACCCAAATGTTTTTCAAATCATTGAGGGTTTATAGGGAAGACCATCACCTTTTCACCTTATATAACAAAAGCATATAAGTCATTAGATGGCTATTTTGTTTGTTTCTGAACATGTTTTTTAAATTCTTTTTTAACTTGTCACGATTATCTGCCACAACGTGGGTGGTTTATCCTTTAGAATTGAATGTTATCCATTGCCTTTGGTGTATTTTATCAGCTGGAAACCTGTAAAATTTTACATTTTCTGTTCTTTCATTTTCTCATGCAGCCTACAGCTCTATGTGTGTTAGCTATGCTAATAGATTTTATTTCGCCACAATTAAGCTCTGTTGACAACAAACAGATGAACGCAATGGTGGTCAATGAGGAGGTGCGTCTGAAAATACGTATTTTCAAATTAAACTAGTTAATTTTAGGATGATTGATGCTCTGAATGATTTAGAGTCTAAAACATTCAAAGCTGTCTAAATTTTAGACAAAGCAGCAATTAACATAAATGAATTTAAAATAATTGGTTGTCTGTTTGAGCGACCAGCATCCCGGCGTGCGTTGCAGTCGCTGACGCAATGCTCCCTGTCCCAATTCTGCAATTATTTGCACACTTGTGTACCATTCACTTGAAGCCTTCTGCTTACCTCCTCCAAGTGCGCTTCACAGAAGATCATAGGGCACAGTGAGAGTATTGGGATTGGCCAATAGGTTATGACAAGGCGAAATCTCTGTCTGCCATCTTGTGGCAAAACTTGGAACTACACATTGGTTTTATTAACTGAGTAAAACACACTGGATGTGTGGAGTCAAGGTACTAAATCCATCAATTAACAGTTTTCAATGTACTTTATAAATAAGAAAGGGTGAATTGTCACCCTCTGGTGGCGTAAACGTGGAACTACACGTTGCGTCTCAGTAGATAACTTTTTTGCCTCTTCATTTCAATTAAGCTGAAAAAAATCTATTATTGTGCACTTAAAATAATATGAAGGATGAAGAGAAGAAAGATAATAAAGGTTTTCATTTTTAAAAGTGGAATAACTTCTAGGCAGAAAGGCTTCTTTTAAATTAAATGCTCTGGCATTTTGGGGTCAGTCAAAGGGAAACTCACTCTAAAAGTCTTATTTTTAGATAAAAACACCATTAGAACTACATTTAATATAGCCTAAATATATGAAACATGTGTGGAGTCAAAGTGCATAACCCAGCAATCTACAGCGCTTATTGGAACAGAATTTAATGGATGAATATAAACATCTTCACTGGGGATAAAGGATGAAATGCTTTCTTTTATTTGTCTTTTTAGAACCATCGTATAATTCATCGACATACATACGGTATAATTTCAGTTTATCGCCACTTGGCGGTGATAATTCGCGTGTTAGTTTAGCGTTGTAGCTAGCTGTGTTTAGCACTTTGTCTCCACACAACAATTTCTTTGTTTTTACCTTTAAGTAAGATTTAAATATTTCCGTAGCAGCGGCGGTAGAATGCGTAGAATTGGTTTATTTTTTATCCGGAAACAGTAATTTATTTTGATAGTATTGACCGGATGTAGATTAATGTCTCTTTTGTTTTGATGTTAAAGCCAACATGGCGCACACCGGTGTCTCGGCCATGGATGACACGACACGATATTCTGAATATTCCTCTAAAACGAATGTCAGGAGCGACGCAGAGATAGACAGGCAGCTGGTAAGCATAGGTGTTAGCGTCAGGTGCATTATCGAGTCTTTTAAATAGAGCTTATATGTTTTTTTTCATTAGATATACCGGTGTGACCGCTAACAGCATGTTCTTCTGACAGTTACGTCAGATACCTGAACTCGTCCAAGTAAACCTGGTTAGTTAAGTAAAACTGCTAAATTGTAAATGTGAAATATAAATGTCGCTTTGACGATTAATTTTGTTAAATTAAGTTTTGTTCTTAAGACCTTTTCTTGTTAAAAAAAAGGTCAAATTAGTCACGTTTACCCACATTCTAGCGCTGTAGGAAACCCGAGCTTCAAACATTCGGGGACATTAAATTTTAAGAGAATTATGGATTTGGGGGACATCAGAATTAACTGTTAGACAGCTGATGGCTCATTTCCTGTTAACAGGGCAGAACTCTGATCGCTGTTGGTCTTGGTGTTGCTGCTGCAGGTTTTGCAGGTAAACATGGTTTATATTCCTCAGATGTATTAAAACTCATTTTATTACATTTTTGTAAGGATGTTTTTATTTATATTCTCTTGTTTCTTTGACCCTCAGGTCGTTATGCGTTTCAACTGTGGAAGCCTCTTGGACAAGTTTTCTCTGAGACGGCCAAGAAGATGCCCACATCAGTGAGTCATTCATCCTCACACCAGATTCCCTTTTGCACTGCTATTGTTATTGTCAGTAACTTATTCTTTATTAGTCTGTTGTCCAGAAAAGAAATGCCTGTAAAAAATGATATTTTATGTGGCTGAAGATTCCAGAGAGTCATACATACTGACAATCAACCCAACACTCTTCTGTAACACCAGGCTTTCTCTTCATACTACAAAGGAGGTTTTGAGCAGAAGATGTCCAGGCGAGAGGCAAGCCTGATTCTGGGCATCAGGTAATAGATTTAAGGTCACTGGGAGTGCTGGTTTGTGGTCTCATATCAAAGAAGGACTACTTTTGTTTGTGTCATATTCAGCCCAGCCAGCACGAAAGTTAAAGTGCGGGAGGCACATCGGAGGATCATGGTCCTGAACCATCCAGATAAAGGTGAGCTTACTCAGATTCTGTGTAACATCTGCAGTTCTTTATAATAAAACTAAATAATAAATAAAACAACAAAGCTGTTCACAAATCTGATCGTTCTGTGTTAGTGAGCATGTCGTCTTTGTAGAGATAATCAATCCCACCTCACAGGTGTGGTATGCCCAGGTGCTGGTTAGACATCATGAATGTTGCACAGGTGGGCCTCAGGGCTGCAAGATTATGACCAAAATAATAATCACGATTATTTTGATCAATGTTGTAATCACGATTATTCATCTTATCTGGTAAAATATGTATTTTTATTGCACCAATAACAAACAATGTTGCAACATTTTTCTGTGAAAAATGAAACTTTAGAATCGATTATAAATAATGCAAAACCCCTCCAAAAAACTCCTTTACTTTTATATTTAAAGTGCTAACTAATTATCTCAAAGTGCAACTTAACAGAAAGAATTACAGCTTATACAGAAAAGGCCTCCTGTGTTTGTTTCATGGCCTCCTACTACTTGTTGCCGGTCTGTTTGTGGAGCCGGTGGTGAGAGGTAGCTGATAGCCAGGGGTTCTTCTGGGGATAAATCTGGGTGCCGTGGGTCGACGGTACCTGGGTCTGACTCTGTTTACCAGGAGTCCAGAAGATGTGGAGCATCTCCAGCAGCAATGTCTCTGACATTGCCTATTGCTGGTGATGGCGGATGGCTCTTCATCAGAAGAATCTCTAAAAGTATAAATATATCAGATTTTATAAAACATATTCAAGCAGTAAATACTAGGAAATGATAACTGTAAAAAAAAAAAGAACTAAAGCTAGAAATATATTTGAACTGTTGATAAACTCACTGCAGCTGTGATGGTAAATAATTTTCATCCACACCTCAATCCTCGAGGTCCTCATCTGTGCTCCAGACATGCTGGTTCCCAAAGTCAGAGACTCTCTTGGTCAGCTTGCTTCTCACACCAAACCTTCTGTCAGGAATCTTGGCGTGACCTTTGACCCAGCTCTCACCCTGGATTCTCATGTCAGTTCTCTTGTTCGCTCTTCCTTCTTCCATCTCAGGAACATTGCTAAGCTGAGTCCCATTCCGTCCCGCTCTGAACTTGAGACAGTTATCCACACCTTCATCTCCTCACGCTTAGACTACTGTAACTCTCTTTTCACGTGTCTGAGCAGAACCTCCCTGAACCGTCTACAGGTGATTCAGAATGCCTGTGCTCGGCTTCTGACCAAGTCCTCCAAACACACCCACATCACCCCGCTTCTCCTCCAGCTTCATTGGCTGCCAGTCAACTTCAGGGTTCATTTCAAGATCCTGGTTCTGGTCTATAGGGCCTTACATGGACAAGCACCATCTTACATTGGTGATCTTCTTAGTCCCTACACCCCCAGCAGGTCCCTGAGGTCCAGTGATCAAAGCCTACTGGTTGTACAGCACCAGGCTAAAGACCAAAGGTGACAGATCATTTGCTGCTGTGGCCCCCAGACTCTGGACCTCTCTCCCCCTGAGACTGAGATCAGTGGACTCAGTGGTCTCCTTTAAAAAGCAGCTGAAGACTCACTTGTTCAAGCTGGCTTTTGTATGACCTTCTTCACCACTCTCTCTTTATTCTGCTCTCCCCACCTATTCCACCTTCCTCAGGATCCACTGATTTCCCTCTTTCCTACTCACTCTCTCTCTTTCTTAACATTTTTAATCACTATTGCCTATTTTTGCTCATTTTAATATATTTTTAAACATTTTGTAAATGCTTTTTTATATTTTTACATTTTTTGTTTTTGTGAAGCGCCTCTTGATTTTTATCTTGAGAGGCGTTATAGAAATGATACTTAATTCTTCTTTCTTCTTCTTCAACCACAGATGTACTTATGTACAGTAATATATTTACCCAAAATAATTATTATTTACATCCGTAGAAGAGATAAAAGTTGAAAATATGCGTCCAAAACAATTCCACTAGTGTGTTTATTTCCTGGTTCCCAGGCAGGGACTTGCGTAACCTTACCATTAAGTATTGTATGCCACTGGAAAGCGCTGAGGCTCGGCTTTCAGAATCAGTTGGAATTACGATGATTGCGCAAACGGTCAAAGGGTTATGGCAGTTCAAAATATGGAAGCCATTTTGTGTCGCGCCAACACAACCACAGTAGAAGGTTATTGAAGCTTTAGCCGTGCTTTTGCCCAAGCAGAATAGCTCGCATTTAGAATGTAAATATTGTTGACGATCGGGTTAATTTAAAGTCTCTTTCTGGAGTATTTCTCTTATCCGATGGCACCATCTAGTGGCTGACAAGCATATCACACAAAAAGTCATTCGCTCTGTTTTTTTAAGATGGCGACTTCACGTTGTTTGTTTATAAATGTGCTTCTGTAGCCGACAAACAGAGCTAAAACACGTTGTTTTACAAGTAATATTCTCATCTCATGTTGTGTTCTCATATATTTATATTTTAGAGACTTACTTGTCCGTGAAAAGTTCATCAACTCTGCATCAGCTGAAGTATTCCTTAAATTTGAAAAAATTAAGCGGTAGTCTAACGCTATTGGTTAGTTCTGGTCGGCGCTCCGTTTCCCATTTCTGACAAATCATACATAATTTCTGAAAGTAGAAAACTTCAGAAAGCTGCTTTAAGTGTGGCCACCAAAATCTTGATCACAATCAAAATCCGATTAATTATGCAGCCCTAGTGTGCCTTGGACTGGCCACAATAAAAGGCCACTTACAATATTTAAGAGTAACTTGGCTTTTGTGTAAAATGTTTCAGATCTTTGAGTTCAGTTGTTAAAAATCACAGCAAAACAAAAGGGTTGTTTACATTTTCGTACCCGAATCTAAAATCGACAATATGCTGAGACGTTTATTTTCATGTTCTCTCCAGATTGCAAGTTTATTTATGTCTTTAACAGGTTAACTTGTATTTCAAAGTGAATGTTTTTTTTTTTAACGATAACTTGAATTTCTGCTGATTTCACAATAAACGAAAAGAGATACTTTATTTTTAAAAAGTAGAAACATGCTGCTGGAAAATGAGTCGAGGTAAATGACCCGGAGCATCACTCTCTTTCATCCCAAGAAGACAGAGCTCGTTGGTTTCTAGATAGCATTATGAGATTTAAGACGCTTATTTATCTCAAGGTAATCGCTCGGACACAAACATGTTTTGTTATTTATTATGAGTGTGTGAAACGTTTATCATATGTTACAGAATCTGATTAACACCGGTTTGTGTTTGTAGGTGGGTCACCATACCTCGCTGCCAAGATCAATGAAGCCAAAGACCTTTTGGATAAAGAGATCCGCCGATGACCCATAATGTCACATTAAGGACTTCCATCTCTGTGTCAGATCAGTTCTGGTGTTTCATCAGGGTCCACATCAGCACCACAACAGGGAATCCACTCAGAAAACAATGTTAATCATATGAGTGTGCAGGCTTCTCGCCCTCTAGTGGTAGCTGCTTGAAATGCTGCTGAGTTTTTGTGTCCATGTGAAGCATTCAGGTTTGAGTCTTTATATGTTAAATGTGTTAAATAAAGATTTATGTAAGAAACAATTAGATAAAATCAAGATTTCTGTTTTTATTATAAGTTTATTTGAAGATGGCAACAAGTGACCAATAAAGATCAACTTAACCATCAAGTCTGACCATTCTTCGTGTGTCTGAAAGTCACAAGCATCTGGCTGCAGACATCAGATGGCTTCTTCTTTGTCGTCACCGGAAATGATGTAACCGGAAAAACAAGACATCGGGTCATTACCTTTGCGGGAAGTAGTTTGGATTTGACGAGAAAAACCGTACCGTGTGGTGGGTCATTACTTTAACCAGAAGTTCTTAATTTCGGAAGTTTTTTTTCTTCAAATTTGGGCTGGCGAGTTTTTAAATAACGCCGTTACCCACGTTGCAAGAAAATTCCATCCATTTTCATCCGCTTATCCGGAGGCGGGTCACGGGGGCAGTAGCCTAAGGCGAGAGGCCCAGACTTCCCTCACCCCAGCCACTTGGGCCAGCTCCTCCGGAGGAATCCCAAGGCGTTCCCTGGCCAGGTGAGAGACATAGTCCCTCCACCGTGTCATGGGTCTACCTTTAGGTCTCCTCCCGGTTGGACATGCCCGGAAAGCCTCACCAGGGAGGCGTCCAGGAGGCATCCTGACCAGATGCCCGAGCCACCTCATCTGGCTCCTCTCGATGTGGAGGAGCAGCGGGTCTACTCCGAGCCCCTCCCAAATGACCGAGCTTCTCACCCTATCGCCACTCTTCGGAGAAAACTCATTTCGGCCGCTTGTACCCGAGATCTCGTTCTTTCGGTCACTACTCATAGGTGAGGGTAGGAGCATAGATCGACCGGTAAATCGAGAGCTTCACCTTCTGACTCAGTTCTCTCTTCACCGGGACAGACCGGTACAACGCCCGCATCACTGCAGATGCAGCACCAATCCGCCTATCGATCTCAAACTCCAGTTTTCCCTCACTCGTGAACAAGATCCGGAGATACTTAAAGGGACTTTACGGACTTTTGAATTTTTATGCTCGCGATTGCCCCCTCAGGCCAAAAGCGTAACGGCAGCTTCAATAGTAGGCTCGTGCACGAGGCGCACATGCTGTACGTGCACACTCCTTAACGAAAATAACAGCTAAGACAGTCCAGTGTGTGTGTGTGGCCCGGAGGACAGAGGACAGGAGAACACGCAGCTAATTAAATAATTTGGTTCTATACCTTTCTCTTCAGCACAGCCGACAAAGGTTTAAGATGGGTCAGTCCTCCTGCATGCTCAGATCATGCCCTTCCCTTGCTTGAAAAATTGTTCCAAAATGAAAGTTGAACCCACATCTTTTTTATGTGTGAATTCAATGCCGTTCGGCGAGTCTCAAATAAAAATTTGGGCATCTTACTGTAAAAAAATATATCATTTATGTATAAAAGAAACTCTAAATGAACTATGTTCACACCCAGAATCAAACCCAGGTCTTCTACATGGGAGTCAGACATCTTACAAGGTGAGCTACACACCAGTAATATTCACAATATCTGTAACTTTTATATCCTTGATGACAGCTGAAACAACGTCAATCCAAAGAACGGTTCTAAGAGAAAATGGCTATTTTGTTGCTAATTTGCAGGAAATATCTAGAAGAAAGTTCTACAGAAAGTAGCTAAGGGTCATCAGAAATGTAGCTAGGTTCATCACTAGGCGTTAGGAACAGCGACAGTTGCTGAGTTGGCACTGCCTCACTCTCTGCTGCTAAAGCTACTGATAGCAAATGCTACGGGCTATGCCTGAGCATGAACGCGCATGAAGCAGCCTGCTCGACCCGAGCAACTCTCTTTTTCTGTGATTTTACAGAAAAACAGGCAATCACAGTAAAAATGCCAGGGCTCATTCTACAGGACCAGGGCATTGCAGGAGAATGTATGAAGAAGAAATTTATCAATTCTATACATGTTTTGGCTGTCAAACTTCCATAAACTCCTCCACATGGGGCAGGACCTCATCCCTGACCCAGAGAAGGCATTCTACCCTTTTCCAAATCAAGACCATGGTCTCAGGTTTAGAGGAGCTGATTCTCATCTCAGCTGCTTCACACTCGGCTGCAAACCGTTCCAGCGAAAGCTGAAGATCACGTTCTGATGAAGCCAACAGGACCTCATCATCGGCAAAAAGCAGAGACCTGATCTTCAGGCCACCAAAAAGGATGCCCTCCACACCTTGACTGCGCCTAGAAATCCTGTCCATAAAGGATTTTGAAATTGAATAGTTAATCCCTTTGTCCTTCAGACATGTATGTACAGTCTATGTTCAGACAGGGGATTTTTAAGACAGTAGCACATATATATAATAATTAAAACAATAAAAGGCTGTATAGTGACTAAAAAAAACACATGGAAAAAATGAGAACACATTAAACTAAGACTTTTCAAGATATGAAAACAAAATAGTATTTGCTAAATATTCAGTTTTATTGTTAAGCCCAAGATGAACTTTTGACCTGCACCAATTGCTAAAGTACAGGACTCCCAGAAGCAGTGAAAAACATTCCAGCAACACTCCTCTCTCAGCAGCAACAAAAATTAGTTACAAAATATCCAAAACACTGTCCTAAATGTGTGTCATAGCAGCTCATTGCAACAGAATTTAACTACTACAGCTGATATTTAGCTAGCTAGTATTTCTGTATTATTTTGAGTGAAAGACAATAAAACAAAAGAAACACTTAATTTCACAACCATTTTATTTTGGGTAGAAATGAATTAGATGAAGCATGGCTTTCTCAGCTGCATATCGATTCATCCCCTCCCATTTTTCCAACACTTTGTCATCTGAAAAACATGCACACAAGGATAAATTCGTACACTGTCAAATGTTTTCGAATATTCAAAAAGCCAAGGTTGTAATACATGTTGAGTTTCATTTCTGCTATTTCAGAATGTTTGTTCATGGACAGTTACATTTTCTATTCATACATTTCTGAAGCAAAATCAATTCCTTTTTTAGCTTTTATTTGTTAATACGTACTTTTTCAGTCATTTAAACACAATAACTTAAAAATATTTAGATATTGAAAGCTAAGCTTGTCCAGAAAAAAATTTTTTTTTTGAGTGCACAGGACCAGTTCCAGTGTGGGCCAGATGCTGAAAAATAAATGCATAAATTTGCCTTTTCTGAAGTTTCACAAATCACAAACTATGTTTTATGCATTCTGCTACGAGCCTAGAATAATCTAGAACAGGTTTGAAGAGTGTATGTGTTATAGGTTTTGAGCTAGAGCAGATTAAAAATGGTCAGAGTAGAGAAAAACCACCCTTTAGCCATTTCCCGAATCGGAAGCTAACTTTAGCCTCGTATGAAAACTAGTGATTGAAACCACTTACAAATTTCTGAAAATATAAGCTTTTTAATACAAAAAAAGGGTATTAATAACGTTTCAGTCAAGTCAGTATTAGAAATTCAATTCAATTCAATTCAAAAATACTTTATTAATCCCAGAGGGAAATTGATTGAAATCGTGGTCTTTATATCATATCTAAATTATATATGAAGTTAATATCATCACTTTAACTGTTTTAACAAACACGGAGACCAGAAAAATCAAATAGCTAAGTTAAAGCTATGCTACAACTGCTGATTTCTTTGTTGATGTAGCTTTTGTGTTAGCTTGCGAACTCCCTGCATTAGTTTTAAGACTGCATGTTAATATTGATAAAATTAGCTATGAAACACGGTGCCTTTGCAATAATTCTTTGGTAGCTTTGAATGCTATAGTGCCTACATTTAAGAACTAAGAACGGTTGTGAGTGGGGCCCCTTGGAGGTCTTGGTGGCAGCCATGGGTCACTGCCTGGCAGCTGCATTGCCCCAGGGCAGGTCTGGGTGGGAGCCTGGGGGCTCGGGGTGTTGGGGTGGCCGGCCCCGTGTGGGGATCTGGGCGGGGCCTTGGGGGTCGGGCCCTGACATGTATGCTGCCGGGAAGAAGGTAGGAACATGCAGCAGTGTCTGGCACGGGTTCAGGGGCCTAGGGTAGACCTTGGCTCCTCTGCTGGCCCATCACAGGAGAGGGAGAGGTCCAGGAGGGGGAGGACCCAACCTTCCCTGGATATCCTATGTCTTATATATTCTGGAAGTTGTGCAAATGCAGGGATGGGCATAGATATTCTGCTGGGGTGGGGCTGGGTTGGTGCCCTCGGACTCTGTGAGGCTCTGTAATGCTGCTGCTTTGGGCCCTGGCAGGATGGGCTGGAGTCTCCATGCCCGGGGCGGCAATTTGACAACCTATTGGGGCCAGTGGGGGAGCTGGCTCCCTGGAGGACTAAGCCCAACCAGCCATTCCTCCCCATCCCCGCATATTTCTCTCCTCCTGCTCCCTCACATCATCACACAAACATGCACATAGGACCTTAGGGGGTGGACAAGTCAGGGAGTGCGGGTATGGACCCCATTTCCACATTCCTGTGGCAACCTGCCCCCCAATTTTATTTGCACCTTATACACTTCCACCAACGACATTCCACGCAAACACACACTTAAGGCCTTGGGAGCGAGCACATTCAACGGCACTTGGCAGGGGGATTTCTCAGCCTCCTCCCGAGTGCCGGTGCCCACTTCCATTTTAAACTGCACTTACACACCGAGGGCTGTGGGTGCAAGGGGGGTGGTGCGGTGGCATCAGCTGGCATAGGCCAGACAATGCCCGCACTGCCCGCTCACCACAGCCATGAAATACACCTCATTAACACAGAACACTATATTGGAGCAGGTGGAGGGAGACTAGGGATCTTAGCATACCTCTGTTGTTGCTTGGCTTCCTGGGGCTGGAGGCTAGGAGGGAGATCTGGCCGTCTGGTTGGGGTCTGGGGTGGTGGGTTGCTGTGCTCAGCGTTGGGCAGGGGAGCCTGCTCATCAGCACCCCTAGCAGAAAGTGTCAAACTCTGGTAACCGGTGATGGTTGTACCCCATGTGCAGCAGTACCGGGACCAGAGTGAATAGGGTGTGTATGGGGAGCATGAGTGGATGTCCGGTAGATGTCTTTGGTTGTATGTGCATGTGTGAGCATGAGGGAGGGAGTGTGTGACTGTGTTTGTGTATGACTGTATATGTCAGGTGGGGCCTTTGACTCCTCCCCTCTCCTGGGACTTCTTTTGATGAAACAGATCTTCGTCTCCCCCCCCCCTGCCACACCTGGTGTGGGGTGTGGTGCTTTGGTCTGCCTGAGTGTTCATGGCTCCCGGGTCAGGGGGGTTTAAGATTTTAGCGTCTGCCTGATCAATCCCGGTGGCGGCCTGGTGGGGTCTAGGTCCCTGGGCTCTGCTGGATCCCCGGCGGAGGTGGCCGCCCCTGGGTCCCGGGTCGCTGGGTCCCGGGCTCGGCCGGCTATGGGGTGGGAGGCTGTGGGCGGGCCTGAGGGCTTGCCGCTGATGTCTCCCGGGACTCTGCCGGCTGCTGGTTGTGGCCCCCCGGGGCGATCCTCTGTGCCTCTCAAGGGGGGCGGGGGCCTTTCTGGTTGCAGTCTCCTTGGGGTTCTTGTGTTCTGGGGCAGCGCCTGGATCTCTGGGACTTGGAGCTCCCCCCATCTCCTAAGCATCTTTGGGGGTCAGATCTGTGGTCCTCACACTCTCTATTGGACGCTCCTATAGATAAACCTTACATAAACAAGCGCGTGTACACACACAGGTGCTCACATGGTGCTCTCAAAAGTATGGGCTTGGGCACGTTCAACACAGGTCTTAAGACTATGGTGGGCACTTAATGCACTGTGATTTATTATCGTGTGACTGTTCAGTTAAACAATGTTGACTATATATTTCTTCATCAAGTTGATGCAGTGATAGCTTGATCTTGTTGTATTGTTGTTGTGTCCCATTTTTTTTTGTTTTTTGCTTCTTTTCTTGTCTCTTTCTGCAGGTCTAGAAGCAGACTCTTGTTCATTATTATTTTTGTGGACCCCCCCCCCCCCCCCCTCCATACCTTTTGTCTTTTCCTTTCTCTTTCACCTCTGACTCCGTGTCTGGTCGGAATTACAAAGCATTCAAAAACAATAACAATAAAGTTTTAAGTATCAGGCGTGACATTAAAAGCAGACGCTTTGATGCTCCACCTGAGAGTAAATCTGTAAGGCTTGTTACCAGCATTCAGACATGAATTATGTTTGCTTCACAGCCAGACAGGACACGGTAAAAAAAAAAACGAAGAACGGTTACAAACATTAGTTAATTTCATCCTTACCTTTCCTCTTTGAAACCCGCCGAGTATGGTTGAAACAAAAAACACAAAAACAATGTAGCGGCCGCCAAAAAAGACTAACTTCCGGCCGAGGTCTTTCGCTTGTCGATTTTCTGGCAAAAGTAATGACACGCCATCTTGTTCTCACTTGAAAGTTAATGTCCTACAAAAAGGTCTGCATGAATTACAATAAAATCACACATTTTAGCTGCAGTGGGTCAGTATATCAAATCAAAAATACTTTATTAATTCCAGAGAGAAATTAGTTTCAGTACACACAATTCAGAGGTCAGACATATATGGGGGCTCGTCCGGGATTTTTTAACAACAGCAGACCGAGAAGGAATGTACAATCCCTTGGTGGTGGTATTTTAATGGTGTTTTATTTGTTTTAAGGTTTTAAGCAACAGATGGCTTTGTGGATGACTGGCGGGTGCTTCTAGAGGCCCTGTCCCCGCCGGAGGATCCACTGTTGAATGGGCTCTCAGAGCCTACAAGCCTGATCCAGTCCAGGATGATGAGGAGAGGAAATGTGGATCCAGAGATGACCCCCGCAGGCAGGCTCAGAGGCCCTCCCTCTTTAGGGAGGGACCTGGTTGGTTTTTGTGTTGCGCTTAGCGGGCTAGTGTTGGTGATCTTTTAACCTTCTCGGGAGTACCCCAGGAAGAGCAGGAGCAATCCCCCCCCCCCCCCTTTTGTTGTGCCAATAATGAATCTCGGCCAAAGTTCCAAGCTTACGATTCATCTCGACTGTGACAGTGTGAGCATCCTGTCACAGTGTCCCGATTGATCATGCACCCTGGCTACTTGGCCAAGGGGATGTCCCTTTGGCTGACTGGTTAGAGTGCATGACTCTCACCTGGGAGTCTGGGGATCGAATCCCGCCCGGGCCCTTGTTTCTCCACCTTGCCACATTTGGCGTTGTTGGCAGGATCCATGTAGTACTGTCAAGTAGGTCCATGGATGTGAAGTTTGTGGCACCCTGCGCGAGATCACGAGGATGTGCTTGTGGAAAGAGGGGGGAAGATGTGACAGTGTTAGTGTCCTGTTACAATATCCCGATAGATCATGCGCCCTGGCTACTTGGCCAAGGGGATGTCCCTTTGGCTGACTGGTTAGAGCGCGTGACCCTCACCCGGGAGTCTGGGGATCGAATCCCACCCGGGCCCTCGTTTCTCCACCTTGCCACACGACAATTACGTGAGTCTGTGAATTCACAGCGCGGTGCAATCCATCTCCGAGCTCCGGGAGCAGGCCAATATTCCTCGAAAGCTCGTTAATTTTCCGGTAAGCCAGGTAGCCTCCAATGCCGATCAGCAGGGAACCCGACACCAACACCACGAATATCCATACATCTTCAGAGTCCTCCACAGACAGCTGATATAAACAAATCAAGTTCCACTGTCTCCAGGAGTCCATGATGTGTCCAACTGGGTCTGTCCCGGAGGGGCATCCGGGAGCCCCTTCTCCCGTTCTCATCACTGAAAAAATGTTATTAATCACGTTGAGTGACCAACTGACGAGATCCATTTCAGTTATTTCAGTTTCCAGAAAAAAATGCAGAAGCAGCTGTGCACCCAGCACACACAGACAGACAAAGGCATTGAGGATAAGATATGGAGGAGAGGAGGAAAAATGTGTCTGCACCCTCCAAGAGCCGGAAGAAAGATATGTCTAGTACTAAAGCAGCAGAATTTTGTTATATGAGTAAATATGACATTAGATAATCGTGAAATGATTACATTAAAATAATTCATTCATTAATGTAATTCACGAATACATAAAAAATGTTTTGATGAGTTTTGTGGTTTTGGTGTGGAAGTTAAAGGGTTAAAGGTTAAATATAGAAAATGAACATAAGTACTTCACTACAAGTTAAATACAGTTCCCAAACTGCTGCATAATATGATCAAACTATCAGAGTATTTCAGTAGTACAGAATAAAGATCAATACTTCTGCTCAAATAATCAAATTTTTCCCAGAATGCATCACACCAAATTATTCCAGATGAATGTGTACAGTGACGTACAAAAACCAAACAATAAAGAACTATTTTATACTGGAAACTACTTTGATGAAACTGCTTTAATTTATGTAATTTTTTTTTGCTAAATAAAGAAAACTAACTTCCAACAAATAGTTTAAATAAGTTTTTATTCAAAGGATGATGTTTTGTTGTTGGACGGTAAAGACAGAGCAGGATACAGCGTTTAGCGTTCGTTTTTACAGCAGCAGTTATTTTTTAAAAACACATAATTGTTACTTAAAACAAATAGAATAAATAGAAAAAAACATTTTGTCCATTTCTGGAGTTGCTCTGTTTGGATATGCTGATAAAAATCTGGAGCAGTATGAGAGCTTTGGATTACATGAACTCATTATACCATCCTCAGGTGTCCAGAGTCTCTATCAGCATTAGACACAAGTAGAAACAAAATAAAAAAAAGTCTCGACTCACTCCAAAACCAAAATACAAATATTTCATGCAAAATACCTTTTTTATCATAGGTGGGTACTTTTACTTGATTAATCATCTGAATAATAATAAAAAGACAACATTTGCATTATGTTTCCCGATTTAATTCTATAAAATAAGAATATTTGGATTAAGGTGATAAAAATCTGATAGAACTTTTCAAACTTCTGAGTCCATGACTGTCCTGGAACATGAACCTAGAAGTAGCATGCAGCAGACCCCCCCCCCCCCCCCCCCCCCCCCCCCCCCCCCCGGATGTCTCATTATAGAGATAACAACTGTTTTTGCCCCAAACTGTTAAAATGTTCATTTCTGGCATTTTAATACAAAACGTGAATGCGTGGCCCGCCTCTAGTGGCTGCTGACAGAACTGCAGGATGTCGCTTCCAAGGTTTTTCTGGATTCTTTCATCTTTTTTTTTATTAATATAAAAGCAGTCATACCTTTCCTCTTCTGCTGGTAAAAACGTTTCAGATTTAGTTAGGGTGAAAAAAAATCCTCTGAATGTAAAACTATTCTACAAAATAAAGGCTTTCGTTTCCAGCTGATTCAAAGCGCCGTTTCTGATGTTCACGGACCTAACAACTCATCCTAAGCTGCAACCAGGATGGCTTTCATCCTAGATTAAAAAACGTCATCGGACATATTTCTGTGGGTTAAAATGTAAAGGACATTACAAAAAATTTTTGTTTTTTTCCAAAAGCACAAAGCACCGTTATGAATGAGGAGGAGGCAGCACTGGCATATGGTCAACGTTAGGAGCATCCAGAGGGACAGCTTTACAGGTGAATGATCTCAACAGAGCAGAGATATTCATGTTAATTAATCCAGTAAATATTTCTATTATTCTGTTTTTTTGGTGTGTTTAAACCACTGATGTCAGAAATCTGCTGATCCTGCAGAATAACCACGTCTAACAGTTAACGCCCATTACTTTTGCCCTCTTGTAGGAAAGGTAAAGCAGTGGAGCTGGGGGGGGGGGTATGGCCTTGATTTAAACAAACAGCACCCAGTCAAACACGCCGCTGCAGCTGGGCAGAGGTAACCAGTAGGGGGCACTTCTGGCTCAGAGAGAGCACCTCAGAGGTCTTGGTAGAAATAATGAGCAGCCCTTCACTAACAAGCTTCATTAAGGCTGTTGCTTAAATATCAGGCATCCATTAGCGGTCCTGTGTAGCCCTCTCCAAGTCTTCATCCTGCTGCTCTGCCTCTTTCTCCTCCTCATCTTGCTCCTCTTTCTCGCTCAGTTCCTCTCCGATTACGTCGAGCCGCCCCTCCATGCCGTTCAGCACTTCTACCTCCTCACCGTCATTTCCGAGCCTTGCCTCCTGCAGCTGTAGCCGCCGCTCCTCGACCAGCAGGAGGCGTTCTCTGACTCCCTCTGCAGCTGCCGCAGTATCGGTGGGGCTCCCGAAGAACTGCTCACTCCTAAAATTACAAGTTGAATCCGGAAGCGGAAACCCATCAGAAAGAGGAAAACTCTTGGATCCAGTAAACAAATAAAGCTTTGTCGATTCACAACAATAACATTAACTAACTGTAACAGAAGTAAATGAGTGTTTGTACCCATCAGGGAAGATAACCGGCATGCTGATTCTGTCCAGCAGAGTTTTTCCCAAAGTGTCGACATCATCCAGAGCTTCCGCCTCCACACACACCAGCTGCATCACCTGAATCATCCCACAAACAGAAATATGACGGAGCTCTGCTGCTGTAAGGACGGATGTGTAAGCACGCATCCTGTCTCACCCTCTCAGCCACCGTGTGAAAGTTCAGCGCCAGCTCCAGCCGCTGCTGCCTCTCATCCGCCGTGACGCTAAACTGCTTCCACACCCGGTTGAGTCGTGGTAAGGTGTCTCCAGATGAGCGGGTCGTACAGCGCAGGGACTGACAGAGGACGACGGTGGCCTGCAGAAGCTGACGGCCATAATCGTATGTGCTCTAAAGGACAAAAACACACCCATCAGCCTCAGCATGCTCACATGCTAAAGGGGCGAGCGTCTGAACAACAGCACGAGAGGACATCTCCTCTGCCTCACCTGAGCAACGTCCACAAACTTCTTGTGTTTGTCCAACATGGTCTTCGTCTCCTGGGAGTCGTCACCGAGTCTGACGTGAGTCTTCAACAAGGCGTCCAGCAGTTCACTGAGCCACTCGACCGCCTGAAAACACACACACACACACACACACACACACACACACACACACACACACACACACACACACACACACACACACACACACACACACACACACACACACACACACACACACACACATTACCACCTGATTACAACAGGAAGAGGACACTAGAGTTCAGCGAGGGTGTGTGTCTGACCTGTAAAGCGTCTTCTTCACATTTAAACAGCTGGACCATCTGGAGCATCTTCAGCCTCCTCACGTCCACCATGTCCTCACACCTGCAACACACACACACACACGGAACATTTAAATTTGTAGTCACATAATAATAATAATAATAATAATATGAATGAGGAGGAGCAGAAGAAGACTACCTCTGCTTGCGGAGCTCCATCTCCTCCATCACAGCCTGGATGTGTTGAACGTTGTCCTGCTGCTCTCCAGCTGGACTCTCAGTTTCCTCCAGAGGCCATGGCCATGGAGTGCACATCTGCTCCAGCAGCACCGTCCCCTTCTGACGGAGGGAGCCTAGACCTGATTCTGCATGGGGATGGGAGATGGGAAACCGTTACTAAAATGAAGGAACTCTGGGACAAAGTGGGGAGTTTCAGAGCACAAACCGACTGTCTGAAGTTTCTCCTCCAGCAGTTTGAGGTTCTGCTGAATGGACGCTCCATCGGCTGGAGACACGTCAGCACACAGCATGCCCAAAAGACCGTCCAGCTGCTGGGACAACTACAGAAACACACTCTCAGCCCATACCGATGCTAAAACAGGAGTTTAGCTCCTGAACAGAGACTTTGTGAGGGGGTCTGTACCTCCTGTGTGGTGCTGTGGAAGATCTGCGCCGCCTGCAACACGTTCTGACGAGTCTCGAGCTGAGACGCCTGTCGGTAACAGACGTCACTGAGCTGCTGCTGGAGCGCCTTTAGCTCCACCACCTCCTCCTCCTCTCCGGCACTGAGCAGGGCAGCAATCTGCTGGTTCAACTCCATGTACACTGCAAACCATTCCTACACACACACACACACACACACACACACAATCAGCCTAAAGCTGTGCTCACTGCTGAGAGTTTTTATAGGGAAAAACCCAGTAAAAATCCTCAGGTTTGTATTTAATCCCAGTTTGTCACATGACGACAGGTGTGTGTGCATGCATGCGTGCTTACGCTGTGCTGGCTCTCGATCTCTTCGTGTTTCTGCTGCAGGGCCTGAGCCGCTCGTATCGAGTCTCCGATCGCTTGATGAGTCTTGAGCAGCTCAGAACCAGGACCCTGCAGCCAGTTGACCACCTACAACAAGGACTAATGTTACTCCATGATAAAGGCTTAAATAAGCAGGAAATGAAAGATCATCTCATTAAAAACGTGTCTGACCTATATGCGACATATTACAGCTCGATTAGCCACGAAACTGATTAAAGGACTTCATTGCAATACACTTTATTTCAAAAATATGAATGCTGAAAGGATTCAGGTGAGCGCAGCGTAAGCAGGTAGCCAACAGGGGACCAGCCTGCTCTGTTGTTACATTTCTAGATGGTCCTTTATTCGCCCGTGACAGCAAAACAAACAAAATCATCTTACAGTTAAAGTGATCTTTAAGGGTTTCAGAGGGTCTGAATAACAGATTACTCGCTGGTTAAGATCAAAGACCTTAACAAATAATCTATTGAGATTAAAAACTTTTTTTTCAAGGGAGACCTGGTCAAGATAAAAAACAGAGACAAATGCAGAACAAATGGTAAATGGCCTGTATTTGATGCAGCACCTTCTAGGGTTCTACAACTCCCCGAGGCGCTTTATATCACAACCAGTCATTCACCAACTCACACACACACATTCACACACTGGGGGTAATGTGCTACAATGTAGCCACAGCTGCCCTGCAGCACACTGGAAGAAGCGTGCTCTGACCAGCACCAGCAGGCAAGGAGGGGTCAAGTGCCTTGCCCAAGGACACGTTGACTGCAGCAGACAGGACTCGATCCTGCAGCCCTCTGATTAAAGGGCGGGCACTTCACTTCTCTGGCACAGTCCCATTTCTGTGTCATTTCATGAATTGTGTGTGTGTGTGTGTGTGTGTGTGTGTGTGTGTGTGTGTGTGTGTGTGTGTGTGTGTAGCACACACCATGATTGTATTTATCAGGTCAGTGGAGCCTTAAACAACATAAACAGACAGTTTGATCCAGAACTAGGCCACCCCCCCCCCACACACACACACCTAATATCCTCCATGCTAGCGACCGACTTGTTTTGGTTACCATAGCAACCCCAGGCTCAATTCCAAGATGAGTGTGTTACCCACCCAGCCCCTGTGGCTGTAAGACCTCCATTCAGTCTTGTTCTTGATCTAAGGAGCCGAGTCTGCTCCCAGGCTTTGACATTCTGCTCAGGAGCAGGAAGTTTCATTTGAAAAGATATTTAAGGAACATCTGACTGGCACAATAAAGTTCACATATCATTTTTTTATAGCTGCTCCCACGGCTTATCGATGAGCATGTTAGCGTTCCTTACCTGCAAGACCTTGGCGTGGACCTCGTCCAGCTGAGCACGCTTGCTCCTCTGCCTGCAGAGTTCCTGGTACTTAGTGTACTGCTCCCTGAGGGAGTCCAGCAGCTTCATCACCTGGGGCTGAGCCAGCAGCTCCTCCTCCATGGGGCACCAGGCTGGGGCTGGAGGTCAGGAGTAACACGAGAAAGACCAAAGGTCACGCAGCTCATTACACGTATATAAAATGTCGACCCAGGCAGGTTTGTTCACCCCCCCCCCCCCCCCCCCCAGGCCCCATACAATTAAAATCATGTGCCGCACAGCATTAGCCAGTAGCGTTAGACATCCACTTACACACAAATGTCAACCAGAAAATGTGCACGAGCATCTGAATACGGTATCAGAGGAGAAACGGCCGCCTGCATCCGCTTCAACTTTAGGACAAACTACCAGAGTCCCAAAAAGAAACCATTTGAAGTCACGAACAACAAAAGAAATTTGAACCTAGACAACAGTGATGGGTGTTTAGCACTATCTTGTGTCCTCTGGCAATGTGGTTTCTGGTTCCAGCAGAAAGCCATTCCCAAGGGGAGGGGTGAGTGTCTTGTGACCACGTTTGCGTTCAAAACCTAGCTTGTTCTGTCGATTCTCTAGAGCAGCTTAAAACCTGCGACATGCTAATGCTAACAGATATCTTAAAGCACGGCCAAGAATCTGTATTCATCTTTCTCCTCACAGTGACATTTTCTAACTACCAGCTGTCTCCTCACCTGCCTGTCCTCCTCCTCCTGCCTCTGAGCCGTTAAACCGCCGCTGCTGCAGTTCTGACAGCAGCTCATGGCCTGCAGACAGAAGAAAACAAACAGGAAGTGGGTTGATATCAAAAACAATCCAATAAAAACATTTTAGATAATAAGGGTCACAGTTTGTTTACATGCGGTTACATTATGAAAGGAGCTGAAGGAAGGAGGAGGGTGGTACTGCACACAAAGTCTCCCTTCACTTCAGACGACGACCCCCCCCCCCCCCCCCACACACACACACACACACACACACACAGCTACAGTAAACACATTCAGCCATCCAGTGTGCTTTGCTCGAGGTCTAGACAAGCCTGTTGGTGTCCTCAGGTCAGAGTGAACCACCACATCAATAGTTTAGTTCAAAACATTACCTATAAAGTAAAAGTAGTCTGAAGGTGATTTACAAAACAGCTACAGAGAAAAAGCATGCTTGTGTGTTCAGGACAGGTAAATTATTGCCCAGCGAAGCGTCACATCTGAGAATTCTCCCCTCATGATGCTCACTTGACCTGAAACCCTCGTGCAGTTTTTCTTTGTGTGCTGCTGCTCTGTGTGTGTGTGTGTGTGTGTGTGTGTGTGTGTGTGTGTGTGTGTGTGTGTGTGTGTGTGTGTGTGTGTGTGTGTGTGTGTGTGTGTGTGTGTGTGTGTGTGTGTGTGTGTGTGTGTGTGTTTACACTTAAAATTGTTTCATATGATGCAGGCATCTGCCTACGAAATATATTTACTGATGTTTAATTATGCTCAACATGACCTACTCTAATGCTGTCAGCAGGTTAAAGTGAGTTTTGATGAGATTACCTGATTGGAGGACAGTCTCAGGATCAAAGGATGGCAGGAGAGCACAGTCAGCGGATCTGCAGAGGTAAAACAGACTGTTTTTAAAACTCTCTGTGTGTGTGTGTGTGTGTGTGTGTGTGTGTGTGTGTGTGTGTGTGTGTGTGTGTGTGTGTGAGATCAGTTAGGAGGGCATACTTGTCTTTGTCCGCCGAGCTGCTCTTGTCACTGTCGTTGATAATCGACAGCTCGTCCAGCAGCGACGTCGACTCCTTTGTGAATTTCTCAAAGACCTGCAGCAAATAAATGTGCACGGTTACCATGGCAACTGGCATTTTAAGATAAGCTATTCAGGTAGTAAATACTTTCATTCTTCTCATTAACTCCAGTTACCAGTCTCTTGCTGAGCCAGTCACTGTGGTCGTAGTCCAGACTTCCTCCAAAATCATCCGTCAGCTGAGAGGGTTCGATGTACCGGGTCAGCTTATTGGCCGAAACCAAGATCACCTGACAGGAGGCGCGGACACGACATGGTGAGTATAAAAGCAGATGATGGACGTCGTACCCGGAGGATAAAACGTTGATATTCGGTTCAGACTGTGTATGATTTGAGTTTGGATCTAATATGAACTCAGGGATTACATCAAGTACTCATCAGTCTACAGATCAAACAACCCTACAAGCTCTCATGCTTGGATTTTTTTCAAATATACAATTTATTAGTTTGACTGTTGTATTCTCTAAAGCTCATGGTTTTAAACCTTTACAAATGACTTCTAAATGATGCTTTAATGTCTCACGGAGCCCTGGGGAGGACCTGCACACCTATTAGGGGGCAGCAGTAGCATAACAGGTTGAGCGGGTTTTCCAGTAATCGGAAGGTTGCAGGTTCGATCCCGGCTCCGGACAGAGAATTCTGCTGTTGTGTCCTTGGGCAAGACACTTAACCCACCTTGCCTGCTGATGGTGGTCGGAGGGACCGGTGGCACGTGTGCTCGGCAGCCTCGCCTTTGTCAGTGCGCCCCAGGGCAGCTGTGGCTACATCGTAGCTCATCACCATCAGTGTGTGAATGTGTGTGTGAATGGATGAATGATACACTGTAGTGTAAAGCGCTTTGGAGTCCTTACTCTGAGAGGCGCTATACAAGTGCGGGTCATTTATCATTTATTAAAGCTTTTATTTAATTGAATATCATTAATGATCACAACAAATCACATTCCCAGTGATCGTAACAGCAGCAGCTGTTTTATTTCTGTTTGATGTTGTTAACAACGGAGCAGGTGTGATGCCAGGATTACTTTTCCTTCTTTTCCTACTCGGGCATCAGAAAAGCAGAAAGCAGCTCTGATGGTGGGCATAAAGTTAGACTTTAGGAGTTTTTTACTTAATAGATGAGGATCAGTCGGTTTGTAAACGAGCACCTCTTCATCTCAGTTCAACTTTGTAAGCAAAGCGCTACGAACCGTGCTGCTGATGTGTGCTAACCATCAGCCATGACCTAGACCTCTCTCTCGCTCTGACTTGTTCCGTTAGCCCCTTTTACTGAAATCAAAAACAGCTGTTTCTGTACCTACACTCACTGGCCACTTTACTGGGTACACCTTGCTAGTACCGGGTTGGACCCCCTCTTTCCTTCAGAACTGCCTTACTCCTTCGTGGCATAGATTAAACAAGGTACTGGAAACATTCCTCAGAGATTTTGGTCCATATTGACATGATGGCATCCCACAGCTGCTGCAGAATTGTCAGCTGCACATCCATGATGTCCCGTTCTGCCACATCTCAAAGGTGCTCTATTGGATTGAGATCTGGAGGGCATTTGAGTACAGTGAACTCATCGTCATGTTCTAGAAACCAGTCTGAGATGATTGGAGCTTTATGACATGGAGCATTATCCTGCTGGAAGCAGCCATCAGAAGATGAGGACACTGTGGTCATAAAGGGATGGACACGGTCAGCAACAACACTCAGGTAGGATGTGGTGTTGCAGCGATGATCAGTTAGTACTAAGGGGTCCAAAGTGTGTCAAGAAAATGTCTCCCACACCATTACACCACCACCACCAGTCTGAACTGTTGATACAAGGCAGGATGGATCCATGCTTTCATGTAGATGATGCCTAATTCTGACCCTACCATCTGAATGTTGCAGCAGAAATCGAGACTCATCAGACCAGGCAACATCTTTCCAATCTTCTATTGTCCAATTTTGGTCAGCCTGTGTGAATCGTAGCCTTTCCTGTTCTTAGCTGACAGGAGCGGCACCCGGTGTGGTCTTCTGCTGCTGTAGTCCATCTCCCTCGAGGTTCCACGTGTTGTGTGTTCAGAGATGTTCTCCTGCTTAACTTGGTTGTAACGAGTGGGTATTTGAGTTACTGTTGCCTTTCTGTCAGCTCGAACCAGTCTGGCCATTCTCCTCTGACCTCTGGCATTAACAAGGCATTTTCACCCACAGAACTGCCGCTCACTGGACGCTTTCCCTCTTTCGACCAATCTTTATAAACCCTAGAGATGGTTGTGTGTGACAATCCCAGAAGATCAGCAGGTTCTGAAATACTCAGACCAGCCCATCTGGCAACAACAACCACTCAAATCACCTTTCTTCCCCATTCTGAAGCTCGATTTGAACTGCAATGGCCATGTTAACATGCACCGAGTTACCACCATGTGATTGGCTGATTAATAATTCACATTAATGAGCAGTTGGGCAGGTGTACCCAATAAAGTGGCCAGTGAGTGTATATGATCTGTAGTTACCAGGTATAAATCCACTCAGGTGATCACAGTGATAAATCTGAATCACCAGTTTTCACTGTACACACACTAGTGACCATTATCCAACCTTTACATTAGAGTTAGAGTGCATATTTATCGCAGTAAGTCTTTCTTCTTTTGAAAAATACAAACATTCAAGTTTCGTTCTTTCATACAACCAGCCTCCAGTTTTTACTGCGTAACTTTAAACTTAAGTTGCTTTGGTTCATTAGTATAACAGAATCCTCAGATCAAAGGACAAACTGCTGCATGTCAGAGTTTATAAGGAAGACCAGGTTCCCTTTAACTCACAATACAGACACGTGTGTGTGTGTGTGTGTGTGTGTGTGTGTGTGTGTGTGTGTGTGTGTGTGTGTGTGTGTGTGTGTGTGTGTGTGTGTGTGTGTGTGTGTGTGTGTGTGTGTGTGTGTGTGTGTGTGTGTGTGTGTGTGTGTGTGTGTGTTGCTATAGTAATTTCACAAATCAACCCAGAAGGACAGCTGGTAATGAGTCTGTCTTCCTGTTGTCACGGGAGCAGGTGCCAAAAGTAAACCTGAACTCAACTCACATAGTGTGCGTTAATTCAAATGACAGGTCAGACGTTACAGCAGCTGTACAACATGTGCATGTGCACACACACCCACACCCCACTGTGTCCTTCACAAACATAGCTCATAGTTGAGATGAGTCACATTTCGGCACCATCGCAGGAATCTTCCTCCCAGCAGCTGTGACTCCGCCTTAAGGACTTAAAATTTTTTTTTTTTTTAAGAATTCTCCCCGTCGTAAATCTGACGTCTAAAAATCCGAGCATTCCTGAACTCACCAACAGGCTGCTGTCAGTGCAAAACAGAACAAAAATATGGTCATCTTTCCACTGACTGTGACGGATTATCTTTCTGAAACAACTTCCAAGTCACTTTGGACAGAGTTCAGTCGGTTTCCATGGCAACGATCATAGAGCCAACATGGCTGTGGAAATGTGGGTCAGGGAGACTAACCATATGTTGTAATAGAGGTGACTGAAGAAAATCCCTCACACAAATACACAAGGACAAAGATATAAACACCACAGAGCTGATCTCAGGTTTCCAGAAGCACTCAGGACAGAGAGTGATGCTCAAGGGCATCATCACAGAATTATTTTATCTTTGTTTCATATCTGATACTAAAACAACCTTCGAGTAAGCGTAGAGATCAGGCCACTGCCATTAAAGTAGCTCAGCACTCAAAGGACTCACCTCAAACCCCAGACGGTCTTTCTCCTTCCAGAAGCAGAAGTGTGTGACCTTCTTATCCCAGAACTCATCAGGCTTCACCACGCAGACCAGCGACACCTCTGCTGGGATGACATTCTGAAACATCACATCACCAACCTTAAAAACCCACACAAAGGTCAGCTCTGGATCTGAGGGGACATCAGACGCGTTTGTACCTGCAGCATGAGGACAACAGTCTTCACAATGTTCCACTGAGACCTCCGTCCATCCACGATAACGGTGAAACCCCGAGTCTTGCATTTCTCACTGGGAGAGAGAGAGAAGACATCTAAATGTCCACCACACCTCACCATCAGACAGAGACAGAGAGGTACAATGTGTCTCTTTTACTAAACTCTGGTTTGAATTGAGATTTTTCTGGATGTGAAGCTCTATCTGCAGTCAGATTCTATTGTCAATAGAATCTTTTAAAGAGACATTATGGAAGTTTGACAGCCAAAACATGTATAGAAATAATAAATGTCTTCTTCATATATTCTCCTGCAATGCCCTGGTCCTGTAGAATGAGCCCTGGCATTTTTACTGTGATTGCCTGTTTTTCTGTAAAATCACAGAAAAAGAGAGCTGCTCGGGTCGAGCAGGCTGCTTCATGCGCGTTCACGCTCAGGCATAGCCCGTAGCATTTGCTATCAGTAGCTTTAGCAGCAGAGAGTGAGGTAGTGCCAACTCAGCGACTTTGTCGCTGTTCCTAACGCCTAGTGACGAACCTAGCTACATTTCTGAGGACACTTAGCTAATTTTTGTAGAACTTTCTTCTAGATATTTCCTGCAAATTAGCAACAAAATAGCCATTTTCACTCTGAACCGTTCTTTGGTTTGACCTTGTTTCAGCTGTCATCAAGGATATAAAAGTTACAGATAAAGGCCATATCACCGGCGCTTTAGCTCACCTAGTAAGATGTCTGATTTTTATCCAGAAGACCTCAGTTCGATTCCAGGTGTTAACAAAATTTTTTATTCGGAGTTTCTTTTTTACATTAATGGTATATTTTTTTACAGCAAGATGCCCAAATTTTTATTTGAGACTCGCCGAACGGCATTGAATTCACAGATAAAAAAGATGTGGGTTCAACTTTCATTTTGGAACAATTTTTCAAGCAAGGGAAGGGAATGATCTGAGCGTGCAGGAAGACTGACCCATTTTAAACCTTTGCCGGCTGTGCTGAAGAGAAAGGTACAGAACCAAATTATTTAATTAATTAGCTGCACATTCTCCTGTCCTCCGGGCCACCCACCCACCCACACCCACACACGTTTGGCCGGCCGATGAGAAAGTGCGGCTGCAGAGACAGAGGCACATTATTTTTATTAATTTGCTGTGTTCTTCAATCCTCCAGGCCACCCACCCACACACACACACACACACACACACACACACACACACACACACACACACACACACACACACACACACACACACACACGAGACTGTCTCAGCTGTTATTTTCGCTAAGGAGTGTGCACGTACAGCATGTGCAACTCATGCACGAGCCTACTTTTGAAGCTGCAGTTACACGTTAGACCTGAGTGGCGATCTCGAGCATAAAAACTTCAAACGTCCTTAAGGTTGGTTTATGCTTGACGCGTCCGCGAGGTCCGCACGGCTCCGCGCGGAAAAGTTGCGTCATTTTGCGTCATTTTAACAACCACGCCCCTCCACCGCGTCTCCGCACGGCCCAAGATTTCCGCAACGCGCACCTCGGAAAATTTCTAACCACGCAGACGGTCGGACGCGGAAAAACATGGCGGACCGGCACGGCAGAGGTTCGTAAATACAGACATTTGTATGATTCAGCTCTCAGAGATCACCGTGATCAACATGTTGTTAATAATTCTTGGAGAGAAATAGCTCGCACTGTCGGAAAAGATGAGAACGCTGTTAAAAATGCTGAAATGCCATGTTGTAAACAACAGTAATTTCTACTTCTACTATGGTGTAGTGTTGGATGCATGCCATAGAGCTCCATGCTGCCCCGTTCAGTTTGGGAGAATATTGGCTCACCGCAAAGATGAGCCGCACAAACCATAAACGCTGCGAGTTGTGAAGCGCGTTCCAGCCGCGAGCCGCATCACCGTGCGGAAAGTGAATGCGTCAAGCATAAGCCAAGCTTTAGAGTCCCTTTAAAGCACTGAATGTAACACAGGAAAATCACATTTAAGGAAGATGTTTTACTTATACCTCCATAAGAGTCAGCAAATTGAAGAAGAAGAAGAAAAGATCTTTTCTATAGCGCCTCTCAAGATAAAAATCACAAGGCGTTTCACAAAAAATGTAAAATATAAAAAAGATTTTAGAAAATGATTAAAAATATGCCTAAAATGAGCAAAAATAGACAATTGTGATTAAAAAATGTTAATAAAGAGAGAGTGTGAATATGAAAAAGCGAAATCAGTGGATCCTGAGGAAGGTGGAATAGGTGGGGAGAGCAGAATAAAGAGAGAGTGGTGAAGAAGGTCATACAAAAACCAGCTTGAACAAGTGAGTCTTCAGCTGCTTTTTAAAGGAGTCCACTTGTTGGGTATTTTTATAATTGTACCTTTTTGAGGCCTAAAAGATGCCCATTTTGTGTTATTAACACTTCATGAATCTCTGTGTTTGCCAACTGTGGCTGTTCATGAAAGGTTGAGCAAGGATGTTGATTGTGGGTTTCCAACTGAAAACTGTTCCTCTGTAACCTGAGAAGGCCCTGCCTTCTCCTCCATCCTTTGTGAAAAAAGCCCCTGACGAACTGGAAGCACATGGGAGTGACGTGGGGACAGCCTCGGAGGAGGTTCCTCTGCGTTAACTCTCCATTATTTTGGGGACTCAGGGTAAAATGTCTCCCTTGTTGTCATGTGTGTTATTTCAGGTTCCAGGGTTATTACCCCACATGTAATTACCTAACATTTTGGTGGAGAATGCGGGCATGCAGAGCTGGTGAGCTGAAGGCTTTCCCCAGGAACAGAGGGGGGCTGGTTAGCTCCATGGATGGGTTTCCGCCCAGCTCTCGCATGACGATTCATGGACATTACGAATAATAATAATCTTCTCTCTCTCTCCGAGTCGTCCTTTAAGGTAATTTGGGATAAATGAAAAATTACCTATCACCACTGAGTCCACTGATCTCAGGCTCAGGGGGAGAGAGTTCCAGAGTCTGGGGGCCACAGCAGCAAATGCTCTGTCACCTTTGGTCTTTAGCCTGGTGCTGCACAACCAGTAGGCTTTGATCACTGGACCTCAGGGACCTGCTGGGGGTGTAGGGACTGAGAAGATCACCTATGTAAGATGGTGCTTGTCCATGTAAGGCCCTATATACCAGAACCAGGATCTTGAAATGAACCCTGAAGTAGACTGGCAGCCAGTGAAGCTGGAGGAGAAGTGACGTGGATGTGTTTGGACTGACATGCCTCCCCTCATTTTAATAAGGCAGCAGAAAGTGGCGGTTCGCGGGCCGGGTCCGCCTATTTAGAACCACTGATATAGAACCACACACATCTATAGAAGTCATGTATATCAGTATTAATGAGTTTCCTGTTAATGCACAAACAAGACCTTGTTTAAATGTGGGGACAACGGCAAAATTGCTGTTTGATTTGCAAAGGAGTACCAGAAAAGTTTAACAGAGTTTAGCGAAAGTTTAAGCTGGACTCTTTCATACGTGGCTGCTCACACTCTGCTGGTGAGTTCCTCCTACAGCTCCAAACATGAGGGAGGGAATCCATGCATGCAATCTGAACACCTCGAGAACATTCCTGGACTAAAGAACGTGTGGAAATACTTCACATAGGATGTCTCAACATGTTTGACCCCCATCAGATCCAAACTTGTCCAAAGGGATAAAAGGGGAAACAAATCTTCCCACAACAGACAGTTTCCATGAGTGTGTGTACCTGGGAATGCTAAGCAAGTAATCCAGTGTGGCGCTGAGCTCTTCCATGCTGGTCTGATCTGAGTTGAGGGGGATGGTCAGAATCAGACCACTGCGGCGGTCTTTGCCCCCTAAAAAAGAGACGAGTAGGCAGTTAGAGACATCACATTACTAATATTAAAGTCGTCACGCTGAAGGAAGCACAATCCCACACCTGAGAGGAAGGCCAGCTTCTTTTTGAGGATGGGAAGAATGGAATTTGCTTCCATTGTAACACTGGACATCTGCAAAAGCATGACAACAAAAACATTAACATCAAAACGCGTAACCTCGGAAAGAAAAGCAGCGGCTGATGAGGCTGCTGATTGGTTCCAGCTGAAGTGCTGCAGGAACACCAGGTTTAGTGGCTTTTCCATGCGGATTTTCTCTCAGATGGCATTTCTCCCAGCAGATTCCAGCTGCTGGCTTCGGCTCAGCCTGGTTCACATTTCTGCTGTTTGACTGAGTGGTCCAAGTTTTGTGTTCAGTTAACTCCATCTGTAATCATTCAGTGATTAAACCTGGTTTAGATTAGATCAGATTAAATACTTTAACCTGAGAGATCATCCTGGTAGTTATAAAGTTTATAGTCGGACCTTATTTCAGCTACTTACTAACCCTAACCCTAGTTGGACCTCTTATTTCAGCTACTTACATGAAAACATCGGTAATTTTAGATTGTTTGGCCCTAATTTATTTTCAAGCGACCCAAATTTGCTCATCCATGCCTGTAATCTTCCATCATTTACAACTGGCAGACCTGATCTAGTTACTGCAGTTTCTGCTGCTGCATCCTTTTCTGCAGCCTCACTGCAGGAGGGCTCGGCCCAGCAGGGCAAGGCTCGGTTCGGCTGAAAAGACCTAAAGACACAATGACCTACATTCAGAGCTGCAGACTGCGGAGGCTGCGGCTGGAACCTCCCTCACCGAGGCGTGCTTCATCACAGCAGCGACAACTTTAGGCTGTACTAACAATAAGTATGGATCCGGCGGATTTCCTTACCTTTTCAGTCAGATCCGGAGCATTTTCAGTCAGACCCTATTTCCTCCATCCAGTCTTCCTCCTCCTGTTCTCTTCCGTATCTCCTTCTCCTCTTCACTCCTCAGAGGCCGAGTTTTCGGAGGAGACTGAATCAGTTTTCCATTAAATGACCTTATCTCTCTGTTTTATTCTTCGCTCGTCTGTAACAACAGTGAAAACACAGCAGCCAGGCGGAGGGGCAGGGCTTGCTGCTGCTGCACTGCGCAGACTCAGTAAAGTAAAATCAACAACTCCAACTTCCTGTCAAAATTTTTCAAAATAAGTTTGTGTCTGTGGGGAAAACAAGCAAGAGAACCAAAATAAACACGGAGACCCGAGCTTTCTTTTGTTAGGTATATATTTTCATTCTATATTTCTGTTGGGAAATTATTAGAACTTCTTATTGAAAACCTGTATTGTTGGAAATGTAATTGTTCAAAATATAAAGAGTTTTTCTTGACTTTGTTTTGAAAAACACGGATCTGCATCTTCTCTGTGAAATTTAATCTGTGTTTCCGGGGCAGGGCCTCAACCAAACTGACCGAGTAAGGTCTGACCACTCTCCCTTTCAGACGACTGAGGTGTTTAATGTCCCTCAGAAATAAGAAAACCTCCGGACCAAACAAGAGAATGAACACGATGGTCTACGAAATCAATTTTATTACAAATAAAGTCACATCTGTGGAACAAATTAAAAACAATATTTAAATGTGTTGTTGTGTACAAATGCATAATTTCTTAAAATGTGAAAAAGCACATTTAGACACTTTGATTTTAATTGATTACACAAAAACATATGAATACATATTCTTGTTATGTGGCTGTGAATTCAAATTGAAATGAACATGTTTTTCCACATTGTTCTTGTTACATCATTTGCAATAAAAACTTTCACACTCACATATATATATTTCCACCTTTTACTTCATTTGTGTAGCATTTAAACAGAAACAAGCCCTCACTCATTTTAAAGCTCCTTTTCTCTCGTCAGTCCCATTCCAGCTGTAAGAAAAGACTGAACTGCTGCTGCAATCCATGAAGTGTTATGAGTCCCTAAAGTGGACAATGATAGCCTACAAACAAGTATACAACTATTTGGAAAATATCAAATAAAATACAATTTATTAAAATGGGCTTCAGTAGTTCAAACTCAAGCAGAACTGAAATGGAATAAGTTGTCAACTACAAATATTGGGATAAAATGGGCAAAATAGCTCAACTCCTAGAACCTACCTTGAACCCTATTTTATTTCCTGTGCTGAGTTGAACCTCATGCCTGTTTTTTTCCTGTCAAAACCAAAAGTTAGAAATTCCATAAGGAGGATCAGCAACTCTGTGGAGCCAAAATGACTATATATATATATATATATATATATATATATATATATATATATATATATATATATATATATATTAGCCTCATAGATACAATGGTTCTAAAGATCTGATAGCAATGATCTGGAAGGAGACATGTGATTTACATAGCATTCCTAAAATTAAATGCCTTCCTATATGCATATTATCCAACAGCTTTCATTAGCTTGTCCAAAATTGTTCATGTATGTCTAATGATTATTTTATGAAAGACTTTCAAAAGTTCATGAGATATTTTGCTAACAGACAGAACTGACTTCAGTCATTAAGATAATTGCATATAATCCATTAGCACACCTCAGCTACTAACAGGTTAAATAAATTAAACGAGTTAGACTCATTTTATAAGGTTTGCAAACATTGGTTAGGTGTCACAGCCAAGCTGAAATGAGAGACATTCATCCACTAAGAGTTTCATGAAAGGTCGTGCAGTGGTTCATGAGAGAGCACAACAAATGAACACACATGGGCAGTTTTTGCTTTTTGACAGCAGGTATTGAATATCAACCAATCTGAAAGGCAAGGCACTTCTATCTGCTTGACATTCTCTGAAAATCTCTTTGGTTTTGCCATCTTTTGCTGGTTTTCTGAATGCATCCGAGGTCTCATAAGTGACTTGTGCAGATGACTTCAGGCACACTGATCTGTTCTTTGGTTGACTTTTCTTCATCCTTCGAAGGGGAATTGAAGGGCAGAGACCACCTGAATCCAAATGAGAGTTATATCAGTTATTGAATTGTTATTTCTTGCATTTCAGGTTTCCATACACCCTTGTAGCCTCTTGGGACTCACAAGAAATTATACTTCTGAACAGATACAAAGCTAAATTTAAAGCCCTTCAGCTCTGTTTTAGTTTCCCTAAATCCAACTTCAATATGTGCTATACATGTCCATGCAAAGGCAAGACAACCTTTAGCATGCAGTGTGCTAACACTATGCAGACTCACCACCGCATGAGTGGCATCTGCTGGATGGTGTCAGGCAGTGGCTGTCTGAAAGTCTCTGGCAGGAAGATGCAGAGAAGAACACTGAGAAGTAACAAAGCCCCCATGAGGATCGATGGCAGGAACTCAAAGATCCCAACTGGAAACAAAACCATTTTTTAAGATTAACTAGATCCCACTGACAGCTTTTAAACACAATTTCAAATTCATATGCTGATTTATTTAAAGGTCTCACCCAACTCCATCAGATATGGGGACACAGAGGATCCCACCCTGGTGAACATAGCACAGGACGACATAGCTGTATTCCTAATAACTGTAGGAAACAGCTCTCCAGAGTACACGTACAACACCCCGATGCCAGTCAGGACACCAAATTTACTCAGAAGCACCAGGAACATGATGACAGCTGGATGACCTGTAGATATAAGAGATGCTATAAGCTCTCATGGAGGAAAGGTAAAGGTTATGACCAAGACATCTTTTTTGGACAACGCCAACAAAATGCTTATGGAAGGTCGAGTGCTTTGGTGAGTTCAGCTATTAAAAACTGAGCTGCTTTCTAAATTTGGAAAACTAGAGATGCTGGAAAATAAAATTATATTGCTCCCACTTACTGTCTGTGACTATCTGGGTACAGAGTAATGCTAGTGCCCCCAGCAGGACAAAGCTGATAAAGCAAAGACGGCGAGGAAAGTTCTGCGTCAACAGCCAGCTGACTAAGTATGCTGGAATCTCAACAGTCGCCAGCAGGAAGTGGTTCAAATAGGGGTTTCCATAGAGACTGGACATGCTGAATATCAGTCCAAAGTAAGCGAGATATGAAGAGAACCTAAAAATGCAAAACAGGGATTATACTGTTTATTAGTTTACAATGCACATTAATGATCAGTTTGTGTAAATGTGCCAGATTTAGCGGTGGGCTACTTTCCAGCAGTCCTCATACATTTAAGACAACATGTGTTTTAAACAGCAGCAATATAAAGAACAATTATGAACATTAAACATAAACACCATCTCTAACCAACCCTGTAATTTCAGCTGTTTCCCCAATCAGATCTACAAGCGGTCGCATGCATAACTGGCTTTGTGCAACATTTTAAGGTCCTTTTTAAAATCAGTGAAGGCGGGTGACTCGCAAATTAAAATTGGAATATGATACCAGGTTGGACACCCTTTCACAGCGATTGAATGTTGTCCTATGGTGGTTCTTCTTAACAGACTCCTCTACTGGCTGATCTGGTCCTAAGAGGGCTGTTTTGTTGTCTAATAAGTTCCTCTAATGGGGAGGAGCCAAACCATGAAGGGATTTATAAACAGTACAAGCATATTTAACACTTTTTACGTTTTCAAAATTCCGCATATTATTTGTTTCTAAAATTGGACAATAGTGAGATCAATAGGTTTTATTTATTTATTTACAAAACCCTTAAGTGCCTTTTTATAAAGCTGTTCTACAGTTTTAAGGGCAGTGATACCAACAAATGACCATACAGGTAAACGATACTCAATGTGTGATCAAATCTTACAATGAAGAAATAGTTTAGCAGTGATTGAAGGGCCTGATTTCTTCGTCTTCGTCTTCGTCTTCGTCTTCCTCCACTTATCCGGGTCCGGGTCGCGGGGGCAGCATCCCAATTAGGGAGCTCCAGGCCGTCCTCTCCCCGGCCTTGTCCACCAGCTCCTCCGGCAGGACCCCAAGGCGTTCCCGGACCAGATTGGAGATGTAACCTCTCCAACGTGTCCTGGGTCGACCCGGGGGCCTTCTGCTGGCAGGACATGCCCGAAACACCTCCCCGGGGAGGCGTCCAGGAGGCATCCTGACCAGATGCCCAAACCACCTCAACTGGCTCCTTTCGATCCGGAGGAGCAGCGGTTCTACTCCGAGTCCCTCCCGAATGTCCGAGCTCCTCACCCTATCTCTAAGGCTGAGCCCGGCCACCCTACGGAGGAAACTCATTTCGGCCGCTTGTATCCGCGATCTCGTTCTTTCGGTCATTACCCAAAGCTCATGACCATAGGTGAGGATTGGGACGTAGATCGACCGGTAAATCGAGAGCCTGGCTTTCTGGCTCAGCTCCCTCTTCCCCACGACAGATCGGCTCAGCGTCCGCATCACTGCAGACGCCGAACCAATCCACCTGTCGATCTCCCGATCCCTCCTACCCTCACTCGTGAACAAGACCCAGAGATACTTAAACTCCTCCACTTGAGGTAGGACCTCTCCCCCGACCCGGAGGTGGCAAGCCACCCTTTTCCGGTCGAGAACCATGGTCTCAGATTTGGAGGTGCTGATCCTCATCCCAGCCGCTTCACATTCGGCCGCGAACCTACCCAGCAAGAGCTGAAGGTCAGAGCTGGATGAAGCTAGGAGGACCACATCATCTGCAAAAAGCAGAGACGAGATTCTCCTGCCACCAAACTCGACACACTCCACACCACGGCTGCGTCTAGAAATTCTGTCCATAAAAGTGATGAACAGAACCGGTGACAAAGGGCAGCCCTGGCGGAGTCCAACCCTCACTGGGAACAGGTCCGACTTACTACCGGCTATGCGGACCAAACTCACGCTCCTCTGGTAAAGGGACTGAATGGCCCTTAACAGAAAGCCACCCACCCCATACTCCTGGAGCGTCCCCCACAGGGTGCCCCTGGGGACACGGTCATAAGCCTTCTCCAAATCCACAAAGCACATGTGGATTGGTTGGGCAAACTCCCATGCCCCCTCCATCACCCTTGCAAGGGTATAGAGCTGGTCCACAGTTCCACGGCCAGGACGAAAACCACATTGCTCCTCCTCTATCTGAGATTCAACTATCGATCGGACCCTCCTCTCCAGTACCTTGGCGTAGACCTTTCCAGGGAGGCTGAGGAGTGTGATCCCCCTATAGTTGGAACACACCCTCAGGTCACCCTTCTTAAAGATGGGGACCACCACCCCGGTCTGCCACTCCCTAGGAACTGCCACCGATGACCACGCAATGTTGTAGAGACGTGTCAACCATGACAGCCCTACAACATCCATAGCCTTGAGATACCCAGGACGAACCTCATCCGCCCCCGGGGCTCCGCCGCTGTGTAGTTGTTTGGCTACCTCAGCAACTTCTGCCCCCGAGATCGGACAGTCCATCCCCAGGCCTCCCAGCTCTGGTTCCTCCTCGGAATGCGCATTGGTGGGATTGAGGAGCTCCTCAAAGTATTCCTTCCACCGTCCGACTATAGCCTCAGTTGACGTCAGCAGCTCCCCATCCCCACTGTAAACAGTGTGAGCGAGTTGCTGCCTTCCTCTCCTGAGGCGCCGGACAGTTTGCCAGAACCTCTTTGGAGCCGATCGATAGTCTTTCTCCATGGCCTCACCAAACTCCTCCCACGCCCGAGATTTTGCCTCGGCAACTGCCACTGCTGCACCCCGCTTGGCTATCCGGTACCTGTCTGCTGCCTCCGGAGACCCACAGACCAGCCACGCCCTGTAGGCCTCCTTCTTCAGCCTGACGGCTCCCCGAACCTCTGGTGTCCACCAGCGGGTACGGGGGTTGCCACCACGACTGGCACCGGCCACCTTACGACCACAGCTAGCAACAGCCGCCTCGACAATCGCAGAGTGGAACAAGGCCCACTTGGACTCAATGTCCCCCACTGCTCTCGGGACGTGGTCAAAGCTCTGCCGGAGGTGGGAGTTGAAGACCGTCTTGACAGGTTCTTCTGCCAGGCGTTCCCAGCAGACCCTCACTATGCGTTTGGGTCTGCCAGGTCTACGCGGCATGTTCCCTTGCCATCTGATCCAACTCACAACCAGGTGGTGATCAGTTGACAGCTCCGCCCCTCTCTTCACTCGGGTGTCCAAAACATACGGCCGCAGGTCAGATGATACGACTACAAAATCTATCATCGACCTGTGACCTAGGCTGCCCTGGTACCAAGTGTACCGGTGGGCATCCTTATGTTCGAACATGGTGTTCGTTATGGCCAAACTGCGGGCTTGCACAGAAGTCCAGTAACAAAACACCGCTCGAGTTCAGATTAGGTGGGCCGTTCCTCCCAATCACACCCCTCCAGGTCAAGCTGTCATTGCCCACGTGAGCATTGAAGTCCCCCAGCAGGACAATGGAGTCCCCTGATGGAGCACTATCTAGCACTCGTCCCAGGGACTCCAAAAAGGGTGGGTACTCTGAACTGATATTTGGCCCATAAGCACAAACAACAGTCAGGACCCGTTCCCCGACCTGAAGGCGCAAGGAAGCTACCCTCTTGTCCCCCGGGGTAAACCCCAACACACAGGCAGAGAGTCTCGGGGCTAACAAAAAGCCAACCCCAGCCCTCCGCCTCTCACCCGGAGCAACTCCAGCAAAGTAGAGTGTCCAACCCCTCTCCAGGTCTCGGGTTCCAGAGCCAATGCAATGTGTCGAGGTGAGTCCGACTATATCTAGCCGGTACCGCTCAACCTCTGCCACAAGCTCCGGCTCCTTCCCCGCCAGCGAGGTGACGTTCCATGTCCCAAAAACTAGTTTTCTTGTCCGGGGATTGGACCGCCAAGGCTCCCGCCTTGGTCTGCCACCCGATCCGCATTGCACCGGACCCTTCATGTTCCTCCTGCGGGTGGTGGGTCCACAGTTGGACGAGCCCATGTATCCGGTTCGGGCTGGGCCCGGCCGGGCCCCATGGGCGAAAGCCCGGCCACCAGGCGCTCGCTCACGGGCCCCAACCCCAGGCCTGGCTCCAGGGTGGGACCCCGGTAACCCTCCGGGCCGGGTACTCCGACTCTTCGTTTTAACCGCCATGAAAGATCCTTCGAATGACCATACAGGTAAACGATACTCAATATGTGATCAAATCTTACAATGAAGAAATAGTTTAGCAGTGATTGAAGGGCCTGATTTGTTTTTTTATTTAGAAGGTTGAATTTTACTTAGAATCTTCTTCATTCTTTAATTAAAAAAATAAAATAAAGACAATACCAGTGTAAGAAGGTTCAAATCTGAGAGCAGGAACGACGATTTGGAGGAGAGCAGAGTATATTTGAAAGAGAGCAGACATTTTGAGTGCAAACCATCACAACTTTTGAGATCAATAATATAAAATCTAGTTGGTCTCTTGATATGAAATTCTGCTCTCAAATAGAAAATTCAAGTGCTCAATTAGTGGCATTTTAATTCTTCCATAGTTATTGCTTTGCACTGATTGGTGGAATGGCGCAAACCGTGACTATCTTGATCTCTGACGATTGTCTGTGTGAAATCTCGTGTTTCTAAGGGTTTGTGAAAAGGCACACTGACATCATCTATGATGTGAGTGGAAGTGTCTAAATATGGACGTTGGCCCTATAAACGGTAAATGTGTTTTTTGAAGGTTATATTTGAGTCCAATATGATTCCCAGGTATTCGAAGTAAAATACCAGGATTGCTTTGGAAAGTGAGTACAGCGAGCAATAGACGACAGTTTTCAACCATTTTATTTTTGGAAAATACATTGTCACCGTACCATGGTAGAAAGAGTTGAGTACATCTTTTATCTTTGGGGAGCATGTAGTCAAGGGTACCAGGGCCTATGGTGGGGTTTCTAATGGCAAACTGGCATCAGGGGAGAAATCAGAAGAACATGATCATAACTAGAAAAAATTGTTTCCTCCCAAAACACAAATAACCTGAACAACAGTAGGCAACATGAAGCCATCGGAGTTGGTGGTTGAGCTTTTTCTCCTAATCTAGAATATTTCACACCACTGCTGTGCGAGGTCCCCGTGCATCGGTGGGGAGACGCTGGCAGAGGAGACAAGTGCCCATTCCATCACCGGGATTGCAGGTTTGAGCCCAGCTCATTCTGTTGCAATTGTAATGTTCTTGGGCAAGACACCAGGCAGATAGCAACATGGACCTATAGGTGTTCTACTCCTTGAATTATGTAATTTGCTTTTGGGATTTGGAGCATTACCTTACAGATGGGGAAGGGCCCTGAGCTACACCATGTGCTACTGAGATTGCCTTCACATACCGCTTTGGATTTGGCACCATATTCCTGCAGAGGGGGTTGGCATTGTCACAGTCTGGAGCTGCCGGGGGCATGGACGTAATTTACACTTTAGGGGGGGTGGGGTGGTGGTGGTGGTGGTGGTGGGGGGGGCTCCTTACAGTATGCTCTAATGGGAAACAGGCTTCAACACAAACAGTTGTTTTCCCTCTTGGTCCTAGAGCTCAACCAGTGTCAATTTAATATAGCGTAATATTGTTTTTGGATGGTAAAAAGTGCAGGGGTCAAAACTTGACTTTGGAAAAAGTGGGGGGGACATGTCCCCCTTGTCCCCCCCCCTCCCCCCCCAAAAAATTACGTCCATGGCCGGGGGAGAGGTGCAAATTAGGCCTGGGAATCCTCTCAAGGGTTTTCTTTATTCTCCGATAGGACCAGATGCAAGTGGCTGGAATGAGTTTCATGCTGAGGCCCTTATAGGACATCAGCAGTAGCTTAGGAGGTAGCCCAGGTTGCCTCATGATCAGAGGACTGTGGGATTAATCAGCTCCCACCAGTGGTGTTCTGCTGTTGTGTCTTTGGACAAGACACTCCACCCGATTTGCCAATATTGGTGGTGGACAGATGGTGCAAATGGCAGCTTTGCCCCTTTCAGACCGCCCCAGGGCAGCTGTGGCTACACAGTAGCTTACCATCACCTTAGATTGAATGTGAGAGTGTGTGAATAATGGAAATTTATTTGAGTGCTAGAAAAGCACTATGCTATTATTATTATTATTATTATTATTATATATTTTTAGAATGATCTCAATGACAGGAGACCCCAGAGCAGACCAGAAGAAACAATATGGATGGATGGCTTTTGGCTCTTAGCTAACATGTGATGCTGAGTGTTGTCAGGTGTGTTGGTTATCTCAGTGCTTCTACCTAAAAGACAACCAACTTGGCTAAAGACAGATAAAGTCTGTTGGAATGAAATCACGTAGATTGGTTGCATGAATTTAGATAAAGTTTTGGTTTGTTTAACTTCATTATTTAATGCCAACATGATAAACACGTCATTAGAATGTGATCGTTTCATGTTATTTTAACATGAAACCCTGTTGTAAGAGCACGATGAAACAATTGTATTCTAATGACTCATATTTAACACAGAATACATTCCTATCATTTCCACAACCTCACTAGGGCTCCTTTCAGTGCCCCATAGCTGTCTCCAGATCATGCTGCATGAGCTCTTTATGATTTCTACAGGTGTTTAATGGTAAAAATCACTGCTGAGTGCTTGTTGAACTCCTCTGCACCACTGTCCTTTTGAGTCATGGTTTTTGTTTTTGCTCACTGCCAGTTTAAGACGCCACTGTTTTAGCACATGTATATTTCATTCCGTTTACATGTGAATTGAACGCAACTGTAATTAGTTGATTCATTTAATTTTCAACATTTAGAATGAGCGTGGCTGGGAATTCTGTTCCATCCACCCAGCTATCAGCAAGCTGAATCCTCAACACAATCATGCATAAATCACATTGAACCCTTTTAAGTTAGCGTTACACAAGTTAATCATGTTCCTCTTACAAACTTGATCTAATTATGTTGTAACTAAATGTAAAGAACAAATCACTTGAAGAGGACTTCTGTTTTTTCAGTGCATGAACACATTTTTCTCAGAATAAAGATGGTTTTGACTCACCACATGAACCACAGCTTCATCGTAACGTGTTGAATGTTTGTGGTCTTCAGCAGATCCAGGAAGCTGTGGGACTTTGTCTTCTCACCTTCTGTTTTTTCACTCTTTAAAGGGCCATTAAAGTCAATACACTGACAAGAGTTCTAGCTGAATGAAGCCCAAACAGACATTCTTACTTCGGTCGTGGTGAAAATGACTGATGGAGCTTTTACTCGGTTCTCCAGAGCTGCTGACCTGACAATAAGGTCTGCTTTGTTCAAGCATCCACACGACACCAGCCAGCGAGGAGACTCGGGAATCAGCCTGGTGGACAAAAAGTAAATAGTAATATTTAGGTGGTATTAGATATTCCTCTCATATGCAAAAGATAAAGTCTCTATTATCTTGCTGCAGTCTGGTTCTTAAGCAGAATTAGGCGATCCTGGGTAATTTATCTAAATTACAAGGCTTACAGAGGAAAAACACAATGATGTTCTATCAGAAACAAAAGCTTGCCAGTATTTGGCTGTAACTATGTTCAACAGAATTTTGTAACAATGAGTTACAAATTAAACGAGTTATTACACTTTTTAGCTAAATTAGTTGTTGAACATTGATCTTTAAGGTTGACCATTTTGTAAATTTGGGTATACCGTCATATAATGAGTGTAACAGTTACCTCAGAGAAAGCCTCTCCACGAGGCTGATCTGCAATCTAGCATTTTAACCTGTTTTTTTTTTTACTAGATTGGTGATTTAGTTCCCTTTTATGAGTTCAGCCATGGAAATATCACATACTGTCAGCAGAACTTGTTCTGAAATCTCATCCTACCACCAGAGGGGGATGCAGGCCAGGCCAGGCACAGCCATGAGCAGCGACAGGTATCTCCAGCTCCTGACCAGGTACGCAGTAGCAGACATCAGCATCATAGCTAACGCATAACCAGCATTTAGCCACAGGGTGGAGAAAATGATTCTGGTTGAACCCACAAAGATCTCTGAACCTGTGGAGGGAATACTGCATTTGAAGAAAGTCAAAGCAAGCACGACAAACTGCTGTGAAAGTAAAAAATATGAGATATGAAGGTACAGACTGACACACTCAATACAAAACAGATTCAATGTATAAAAAAAAGAGTTTATTTGTCTTATTATCAAATTAGGTCCGATTCAAAAACAGAAAATGATGCAGGAAGTAGATAATTCCAGCAAAACACATACCCAGAACAAAAACAATCACATAGCCGGAGATTTGACCAACGCCTAGCATAAAAAAACAAAAAGCAAACACGGGCCAGGACTGTGCAAAAGCTGCAGCAACGGTGAAGATGCTGAGCATGCCAATGCAGCCGAACAGGACAGGCTTCCTGCCAAACCTGATGCACACAAGAGAGTAGGAAAAGTAAATCCATCATGAGATGTTTACACAATGTAACAAAGAATGCTTGAAAATCTTTTCACCTTTGCCAATAAAAATAAAGAAACACCGCTAAATGTACCGGTCTGAGATTTGTCCAGAGATGAAGCATCCGCAGGTGCCTCCCAGAAAGAAGAGCAGAGAAGTCAGAGGCTGTTTCCACTGCTCCCTGCACACGAGGTCAAACTGAAACACAAATATGAACCTCTGAAAAAAGACTAAAATATCGTAGCAGACAGATATTCAATGCAACTAAATAACTGGAGAGGGCCTGTGGATCACAGGTTGGATTTTCATCTTTGTACTTCCCTGGTCTGTTAGCTTCCCTCTAAGCTTTTACCCTTACTGAACCTGGAGAGATTATCATCCCTGATTCTAATCCTTCATAATTTCTGATGTAATCTTTAGATGTCCCCACCAGCTACACTGGTTTCCTCAGTTTGACTGTGCCTCGTCTTAAAAAAGAAAAAACAAAAAAGCATCATAGGCATTGTAAAAGGTTTCCTTTACTGACGGGTTAGGGTATCTAAGCTGATCTTTTTTAACTGTTAAAACCACCATAACAAGCTTTTTCTGTTAGCATTCGCAGGTCTTAGGCTACAGAAATGTGTTTGCCACAGAACAAGCACATGCTTAGCTAAAATTTCTACAACAGACCCAGACGTATTATTTTTTTAAATCTAAGGATACGTTTTATCATTTGTATTTAAATGCGTTAATTAAGCATTTTTAAAACGCTAAAAATGGAACCCACAGACAGCAGGACTGCAAACTTTTACAAATGTCTCATAGGGAGAATTTTTTATTTAATTTCTCTCTCTCTCCCTGGTGTGTGTGTGTGTGTGTGGGGGGGGGGGGGGGGGGGTATGGCGACTGGATTTATGTGGTTAGGGCTACAATGCATATTTTCAGAAAAGGCACTTCAGCCTTTTCTCCCACAGCAATGGATTGTGGGTAATACCTCTCACCCAAGTCCGCATCGATAAAGACTTGGGTGAAGTGCAGCTCAAAGGTGCAAAAGGGGCGCGATCAACTTCCGCACTTGAGAATTGGGACACCCAATGCATTCGTACCCCTGGTCGGAATCGTGCAACTGAGGGGTGCAATTGTGGAAGTGTGAGTATTGGGATTGGGCCTTGGCCCTGGAGACACGCACATTTGGACACTTAAGACTAAAAGTCAACATAACTGTTGCTGCTATAAACTAATAGTGAAAATACCTCAGTGACTACAGTCGACTGGTAAAACTCAGTACTGTAGGTCCACCCATCCTCACACTCCTCCTGATTCAGGGTGGGTACCAGAACCTCTGAATTCAATCCGGGCAAAGAATGGTTCTGGATCCAGTTTGTGCTGGCTCCCATAGCAGACAGGTTCTTCACCAGGTTGAGCTCATACCGGCTGCAGGTGCTCCTCTCTGACATCCCGCCCCCCGGCTTGTACTGCAGAAACCACATCAGACTCGACAAGCTCAAACCAACTCCAGGACAGAGCTGTGTACAAAGTTAAATTATTCAGACACATTTGTTGACACAAATATGAGATAAATGCACCAAAAACATGTGATCTACTCATAAACATTTGTTCTGCATTTCAGTTGGTGTCTTTACCTTCAGAAAATTATGATTTACTTGTATTGAAACATTTAGCCGTGAGAATGCATCAGTTAGATGTCTTGGTTTGTCTTTTCGTGTTGCATTATGGTGCAGAAGGGGCCTCTGTTGCGTCTCAGTAAGAAAATTGCAAGACTGAATCTGCTTGTGGCCTTTCTGAAAGTAGTGTGCATGTCCCCACAGATCAAAAACATTCATGTATGTTAGACTCTAAACAGTCCCGGTGTGAGTGAGTGTGACTGGTTGTTCATCCTGCGTCCCTGTGATTGACTGATGACCTGTCCAGAATGTCCCGGCCTCTCGCTCAGTGACTGCTGGAGATAGACACCAGCTCCTCGTGACCCAACTGAAGAAGAAGTGGAATGAGTGGGTTTTCCATTTCTTGTAAAATTTTGACCAGTCATATGAAATGAATATGGATTAACCTTTTGATATTCTGGTCATTGATAAAGCACATTCTGTCACGGTGCGCAGCTGAGTTGAGCGGAGGTGAGGATCCAGGTGCGGGGAACAAGGCAGGCACGTTTAAAGAGGTTTTTAATGATAAGCACGCGGGACATGGAAACAATGGACAGACAAGGAAAACAGAACTTGGAGGGTTTAAATACACAAGGAGCTGGGATCTAAAGTGATTGGGAGACGAGAGGCAGGTGGGAGCAATTAGGAAAGACACAGGACCGATTAGAGTGGGGAAACAGGACAGGTTGTGGCAGTGGCGGCACCGGACGCCAAACGCAGACCAAGATGGAGTCTGGGGGGCCTGCGTCTGGCAGCCAGGAGGCGACGGGCTCTGGGGGGCCGGCGTCTAGCGAGGGCAGGGCTAGTGGTGACTGGAGGCGGAGTCTTTGACTTGACTGGAGGCGGGGCCGCTGCAGGTGGAGCCGCTGAATTGACTGGAGGCGGGGCCGCTGCAGGTGGAGCCGCTGAATTGACTGGAGGCGGGGCCACTGACATGACTGGAGGTGGAGCTGCTGACGTGACTGGAGGCGGAGCTGCTGCGGGCAGGACCGCTGACTTGACTGGAGGCGGAGCCTCTGGAGCCGCGGTCTCTGGAGCTGCTGGTGGCAGGCCGGCAGAAGGCAGGGCCGTTGGAGGTTCCGGAGGCGGAGCCCCTGGTGTTTCTGGAGGCGGAGATGCTGCAGGCGGGGCTGGTGACTTGACTGGAGGCAGGGTTGCTGCAGGCAGGGCCGGTGACTTGACTGGCGGCGTGGTCTTTGGAGCCACTGGAGGCAGGCTGGCGGAAGGCGGGGCCGTTGAAGGCTCTGTAGGCAGAGCCGCTGGAGTCTCTGGAGGAGGAACCGCTGCAGGCAGGGCCGGTGACTTGACTGGAGGCGGGGCCACGGACTTAACTGGAGGCGGGGCCGCTGACTTTACTGGAGGCGGGGTCTTTGGAGCCGCTGGAGTCACTGGAGGTGGGGCTGCTGCAGGTTGGGCAGCTGAAATCTCTGGGGGTGGGGCCGAGGTTTGGGGGCGGCGTCTGCAGCGAGGCGGCGCTGGAGAGGGGAGGCTGACCGGTAGTTTGGAGTGAGCCACTGGAGCATGCACTCCAAGGGGAGAGTTTCCCCACTGGATCCTTCAGAGGGACTGTCCATTCTGTCACCGTGCGCAGGTGAGTTGAGCGGAGGTGAGGATCCGGGTACGGGGAAGAAGGCAGGCACGTTTAAAGAGGTTTTTAATGATAAGCACGCGGGACATGGAAACAATGGACAGACAAGGAAAACAGAACTTGGAGGGTTTAAATACACAAGGAGCTGGGATCTAAAGTGATTGGGAGACGAGAGGCAGGTGGGAGCAATTAGGAAAGACACAGGACCGATTAGAGTGGGGAAACAGGACAGGTTGTGGCAGTGGCGGCACCGGACGCCAAACGCAGACCAAGATGGAGTCTGGGGGGCCTGCGTCTGGCAGCCAGGAGGCGACGGGCTCTGGGGGGCCGGCGTCTAGCGAGGGCAGGGCTAGTGGTGACTGGAGGCGGAGTCTTTGACTTGACTGGAGGCGGGGCCGCTGCAGGTGGAGCCGCTGAATTGACTGGAGGCGGGGCCGCTGCAGCTGGAGCCGCTGAATTGACTGGAGGCGGGGCCACTGACATGACTGGAGGTGGAGCTGCTGACGTGACTGGAGGCGGAGCTGCTGCGGGCGGGACCGCTGACTTGACTGGAGGCGGAGCCTCTGGAGCCGCGGTCTCTGGAGCTGCTGGTGGCAGGCCGGCAGAAGGCAGGGCCGTTGGAGGTTCCGGAGGCGGAGCCCCTGGTGTTTCTGGAGGCGGAGATGCTGCAGGCGGGGCTGGTGACTTGACTGGAGGCAGGGTTGCTGCAGGCAGGGCCGGTGACTTGACTGGCGGCGTGGTCTTTGGAGCTACTGGAGGCAGGCTGGCGGAAGGCGGGGCCATTGAAGGCTCCGTAGGCAGAGCCGCTGGAGTCTCTGGAGGCGGAACCGCTGCAGGCAGGGCCGGTGACTTGACTGGCGGCGTGGTCTTTGGAGCTACTGGAGGCAGGCTGGCGGAAGGCGGGGCCATTGAAGGCTCCGTAGGCAGAGCCGCTGGAGTCTCTGGAGGCGGAACCGCTGCAGGCAGGGCCGGTGACTTGACTGGCGGCGCGGTCTTTGGAGCCACTGGAGGCAGGCTGGCGGAAGGCGGGGCCGTTGAAGGCTCTGTAGGCAGAGCCGCTGGAGTCTCTGGAGGCGGAACCGCTGCAGGCAGGGCCGGTGACTTGACTGGAGGCGGGGCCGCTGACTTTACTGGAGGCGGGGTCTTTGGAGCCGCTGGAGTCACTGGAGGTGGGGCTGCTGCAGGTTGGGCAGCTGAAATCTCTGGGGGTGGGGCCGAGGTTTGGGGGCGGCGTCTGCAGCGAGGCGGCGCTGGAGAGGGGAGGCTGACCGGTAGTTTGGAGTGAGCCACTGGAGCATGCACTCCAAGGGGAGAGTTTCCCCACTGGATCCTTCAGAGGGACTGTCCATTCTGTCACCGTGCGCAGGTGAGTTGAGCGGAGGTGAGGATCCGGGTACGGGGAAGAAGGCAGGCACGTTTAAAGAGGTTTTTAATGATAAGCACGCGGGACATGGAAACAATGGACAGACGAGGAACACAGAACTGGGAGGGTTTAAAACACAAGGAGCTGGGATCTAAAGTGATTGGGAGATGAGAGGCAGGTGGGGGCAATTAGGAAAGACACAGGACCAATTAGAGTGGGGAGACAGGACAGGTTGTGACACATTTTAGTCCACATGTTACTGAAGCTTGCGCTGTGTTTACCTAAACAAAAGAAAAGTGTATGAGATGCATCTTACGTAAATAAAACTCTAACATTTTTGTTATTGTCACCACATACTACCACCTCCCACTATCTCACCTTTTCCCACAAATGAATAAATTAGCAATGAAAGCAAATATGTAATAATTACAAGGTTAACACTGGTGAAGTGTTACTTCACTAGGGGTGTGTATTGGTGAAATTATGGCGATAGGATATGTATCACGATACAGGAATATTCAATAAACAATCCAAACTGATACTTAGCATGTTCAACATGAGTTATCTGAACAACAGAGGGATTTACATTTCAGTAGTGGAAACAAAACCCATTGCTGCCAACTAACGGCCGATGTTTGAATTGCACAAAAAAATAGAAAATGCACAAATGTCTGCATGTAAATTCTTCCAAAAATTCGATACATGGCTTTTGAATATTGATATAATATTGGAGGAAAAAATATCGCTATATATTGCCATATTGACATTTTCTTACATCCCTATACTTCACCCAAACTTTGATTAAAATGTAAGTTTATGATGAGAAGTTAATTCAATAAAATCTCTTTTTGCATCAGATATGGCAAACAAGGAAGTCATGGTTCAGTTTAATCCCACTAATTCAGCTCAGTTCTGACCTGTACTGGGATGCTGGCCTGGATCCACTCCTGGCTCAGGTTGCTGTTAGCAGGGATGCTACACTGATGGGTGGGGCTGGCCAGCAGGAAGATGACAGCCAGTGTGCTGTATCCACTAGGAATGCAGGCGATGAGAAGCACAAAGAAAATTTTCCTCTGGAAGGGACCCCAGTTCCCCAAAAATGACACAGACTCCTCATAATCCTGCATATTACCGGATTTTCGCTTTGATTTAATTCAAAATCAGAACTTTGATTTCAGGGCTCAGTGACGTTTCAAATCAAAATGTACAGCCAGTATTTGCCACCTATCTCCCACAGTAGGCACAAAATTAGTCAATGTTTATCTAGACACAGAAACCGCGACTGTCTGCACACGAGCAGCGATGTTGTTGCAGCATGTGAAGCTACACACCCCATTTATGTCAGATCTTCAAAAAGCTCCACCTCTCCTCCTCCTGCCCATAATCCCCGTCCCCTAAAAGTTTATATAAAACTACAGAATCACCAGTGCAAAACGACATTGGTGCACTTTCACCGGGCCTGAACTAAAGCCATAAATGGTTTGAGTACACAGTGATAGAGATATTCTGTCCATGATGAACCTGACATTTGAAACACTTGCAACTAATGTGCAACAGGTCAGCTTTAGTTACTGTGAGTTTGAACAGCAATCATTTACGTTGGGTGTTTTTGAGGAGCTGTGTGACTTCATGAATGAAGGGGAATAACAAATGACAACGATTATTTCATAGTGTTGTGGAGAAAAATACAAAAATACAAGTGGAGAGAACAGAAAACATGGTTTGTTCATGAAAATTGTCTAAATCTATCATCTGGCTACATCAGCTTGGGTTGTTATGAAGGAGAAACTGTGCTCAAGAAAACAACCTGACTGGCTGAGATGTAGATGTCCTGCAGAATATTACACTGCTCACAAGAATTAAAGGAACACTTTTTAGTGGGCCTGGCATGACATCGATTAAACCTGTCTGATAATTTCCTGGCTGATTAAGCAGCTGAGGGCTTGTTGATCACTTTCAGCTGTATTGGTGTTCATGGACTTAATGACAGGTGAACTAAAGTGGCAACAATTACAAAACCCTCAAAACAGGACTGGTTTAACATGTAGAGGTCATTTCAGGTTTCTCCCTCTTGATCGTTTTCAGCTGGTTTTCCACTCATGCTAGTTTTGGCTCTCTACTGGCAGTATGAGGCGATTCCTTAACCCTACAGAAGTTGCACAGGTTGTCCAACTTCTCCAGGATGGCACATCCACATGTGCTGCAGCAAGAAGGTTTAATGTGTCTCCCAGCACAATCTCCAGAACATGGGGGAGATTTCAGGAGACTGGCGGTTAGTCTCGGAGAGCTGGACAGGGCCGTAGAAGGTCCACAACTCATCAGCAGGACCGATACCTGCTCCTTTGTGCAAGGCGGAACAGGCTGAGCACTGCTCGTGCCCTACAGAATGACCTCCAGAGGGCCACTGGTGTGAATGTCTCTACCCAAACAATCAGGAACAGACTTCATGAAGATGGCCTGAGGGCCCGACGTCCTGTAGTGGGCCCTGTGCTCACTGCCCAGCACCGTAGAGCTCGACTGGCATTTGCTCAAGAACACCAGAATTGGCAAGTCCGCCACTGGCGCTCTGTACTTTTTACATTCGAGAGCAGGTTCACCCTGAGCACCTGTGATAGACGTGAAAGAGTCTGGAGAAGACCAGGAGAACGCTATGCTGCCTGCAACGTTGTTCAACCTGACAGGTTTGGTGGTGGGTCAGTGATGGTCTGGGGAGGCATATCCATGGAGGGACACACAGACTTCTACTGCCTAGGAAATGGTGCTCTGACTGCCATAAGGTATCGAGATGAAATCCTTGAACCCTTTGTTAGACCCTACGCTGATGCAGTAGGTCCTGGTTTTCTGCTAATGCACGACAATGCCCGGCCTCATGTGGCAAGATTATGCAGGCAGTACCTGGAGAATGAAGGAATTGAAACAATCGAATGGCTTTCACGATCCCCTGACTTAAACCCAATAGAACATCTGTGGGACATTATGTTTCGGTCCATTAGGCGCCGCCAGAGCTCAGGGATGCCCTCACACAGATCTGGGAGGAAATGCTACAAGACACCATCTGTTGTCTCATTAGGAGTATGCCCCGATGTTGGATGGAGATGGAGAAGACGTGTTTTCCATTCATCATAGTGTTTAACATTGAGCACATAAGTGTTCTGCTGGTTCTTATAAATGTCTATGATGGTTTGTGTGTGTCATTTGACAACAAAATCACATTTTGAGGAGAAATAACATTGTTTTGAATGTGAAGTTTAATTTTGCAGGTTAAGTGAGGGGTTTTGCCCATTGTGTGTGTTTTTTTGGATTTGTGTGTAGAGTTCTGAGAATATGAGGCATGCTTTCAGGAAATGTGTGTAAACAATTGAGAAAAACTGTAACTCGTTTTAGTGTTCCAGATATGTCTCCCATCATTTCTGTTTTGATCAAATTTGTTCTTGTAATACTGTCTTTTCCCCTCCTTTTTATGTAAAACAAGGCTTCCAGCGCCTGTCCCTCTGCAGCGCGATGCATGAGGGGACTCATTTTGCACTAAAGGACGCATTCTCTCCAAATACGCAAAAGGCGCATTACTGCCGTGAAGCGCGCCGCCGCGCATGCAGCACCGTCAGCCCAGACGCATTCCGACACCGTGCACGTTGCAGTAATTGACAACATTTCTGCAGGAGAGATGGCATCCAAACGGAGTTCGGGAGTCAGCAAAGAAAGTTAAAACGATAGGAGGAGTGTTTCACTCGAAGGTGCACAAAAACGTTGTGGTCAGGAACATCCCAGCTGCTGGTCATGAGCATCGGTCATGAGACAGAAAATTATTGTGTGTGTGTGTGTGTGTGTGTGTGTGTGTGTGTGTGTGTGTGTGTGTGTGTGTGTGTGTGTGTGTGTGTGTGTGTGTGTGTGTGTGTGTGTGTGTGTGTGTGCGTGTGTGTGTGTGTGTGTGTGTGTGTATAAGGATGACACAGAGATCTGGCTTATTTTAGATTTATCTTTGTAAATGTTTGCCTAAAACGTGTTTATTTCCACGCTTTTGGAATTTAAATGTTTCACTGATCTGGTTTTAATATCATCTTTCCTTTTCTCAAGTATGGGAAAATGGATCCTAAGTATAGGAAAATAGTGGATGGCAGCAGTACCAACTTGGGTGACTCAAAAGCAAAGCTGCCATGGAAGTTAAGAAGGAGAAGAGGTTTAGAGCTGCATCCCCAGAAAAGGTGATGGAGTCTGCAGAGAAGTCTGTCCTCCATGCTGGTGGGGACAAAAGCAGTCCCGTCCGTGTTCTCAGCCAGCATGAACTTCAGTTTGAAATTTTCCGTTGACAGAGATTCAAGTGGGTTGCTGGAAATGTCATATGCAGGTCATCTGCTGCAATGTCAAAAGAGGACCTTGAGAAGGATTCCAGAAACCATTCTGAAAACAAAAAGGTTTTTCGTAGATGCATCAAATCCTTTCCTGAAGGTCGCTTTGCCGTTCGAGTAAAATCACCCAGCCATGCAGAATCTTCTGGTACTGCTAGCTTGCTAACGAGTGATCAGCCAGCATCCACATCTTCCACCTCCAGCGCTGCATCTCTCAGCACTCCACCCACCAGCACCTCAGCCAGTGGCACAGTGTCACAAGGCACATCTTCTGGGAGCGGCCTTTCAAGAGCTCATCCTTGCCTTCACCGTTAAACAGGCAAACCTTGCAGACCACAGATCACTCACCGTTTATAAAAATATTTTCCCACTTGTTCTATATGACCTGTGTTATGTGAGACAGTGAGATGGTTGCTGCAGCAGAACAGATGGAGTCAGAAATCACACGTAAAATGTACAAAGTTGTGTTTAAAGTGACAGTGTGTAGTTTCCCTGGCGATAGGGGGCAGTACACAACTAAATCACTGCAAGCAAGCATTACTTTTGTAAGACCTTATCAACGGATGGCCATTAGGGTCAAAAATTCTTTGGGAGTGCAACCTCCAGTGAAACAACAAAAACATCAGATTCCCTTTCATTACTGGCAGCGAGTGAATGTGTAAAACAACAATGTTTACTAATGGGAAAATTTTGTAACCATTTGTTACGAATCAGTAAAATGCATTTTGTCTTCACGAGCTTCCGTAGAAGTAAACATGGCATCCAATATGGTGTCGCCGCGTGTGGTAAAGGAGCCCATGGCTAAAGGGAGTGGTGATTATTCCCATCAGGTGCGGGAAGAAGGGGTAGACTGAAGGGGCTGGTGCAGCCTGCCATGCTGGGAGGAGTGACTTCCTTAATTGACATAAGTTCTAGGGGTTATAAATTGTAACGTGGCACAAGGATCTAAGCATTTTCTGAAAGTGAATGGGAGGAGGGGAGGGTGATGTGTGGGGGCTTCCAGCTGCAGATAGAAGGGTGGGTCGACCAATTAATCTAACAGTCATGTTTTTGGACTGTGGGAGGAAGCCGGAGTACCCGGAGAGAACCCACGCATGCACAGGGAGAACATGCAAACTCCACGCAGAAAGATTCCAGGGTGGGAAGCGAACCCAGGACCTTCTTGCTGCAAGGAAACAGCTCTAACCACTGCACCACTGCGCAGCCCAGGGGGACTTCCTACACCATAAAGTCCATGGTTGACATTAACTCATTCACCGCCCTTGACGACTAAAGTTGTCATTTTAAATCCAACCGGCATTTTTTTTTACTGTGTGGGCGTCGGAACGAGCCCCCGCACCATGAGAATAAACATCTCAGCTCTAAAGCCGATCTTCATCCACGTACGTCACACGTCACGTGATCAGGAAGCAGAACATCCGTGTGTAAGGAGATAGTTTTGGGCCTCTGCTGTAAAAAAAATGAGGCGCGAACCGGAAAAGCTTCTTCCGATCACAATTCAAAGACGGATTATGAAAGAACGGATAAAGCTTGAAGCGTGCGGATTCTTCCTGATGTAAGAGGTGAGTCTCCACTTTGTTTTGGTTGTTTTGGCGTCGACATCATGCTAGCTCGCAACGTTCTGTGACTTTTAAAAAAACAGTAAAAACGGTAAGAAACGCTGGCTGCGAAGGGCTTTGCCGATCAGGAAACGGCTGGCAACGAATGAGTTAAGATCAAACCGATTATAAAACAGAAGGTTAATTAAACAAAAGGATGTAATAAAAATGAATACAAAAGGGCTATTACAGTAATCACATCCTGACATATGGTAGTAGGTCATAAAAGGGATCAAAAGGTCACGATTTCAGTTTCCTGTTCAGGAGACAGAAAACGTTCCCGACCACCTCGATTTAGTAATCTTTCAGTTCTGCCAAACAAATAGTAAAATACTGTGAATACAAAGTAGGTATACATTTCCTAAATACTTGAAACATACATTACAGTAGTTTTACTGTCCAACAAAACCATCCACAGGCAGAGCTCCGGACCCCACGTGACTCTCAGTTAGTGGACGCCATTTTGGCATGCAAAAAAGGTAAACAAACACGGATGTAACCATGAACATGAACGGGATCCGCTTGGATTTTACTTCGTCGGAGTTTACTTCACACTTTAAAACAGAAGAAATCGTTTTATATAGTCAGAAATTAAATAGACTGAACATCTCCGACCCTTACCGTGCCCCTGGGATACTTTTTAAAAATGCCAGAAGCTGTCAGAGCAGACTTCTTACCGGCACAACACCGGACCTGGCCGGGGAACCCCTTGGGATTTACCCAGAGGAGCTGGCTCCGGCGGCTGGGGAGAGGGAAGTCACGCTACTGCCCCCGCAACCCGACTCCGTATACGCGGATGAAAATGGATGGATGGACGGACAAATAACAGATTTACACGTAAGTAGTCTCTGTGAGACAGATAATAGCAATCCAAAGTGCTTTTTATGTGTGATCTGACAATTGATCAACCATTGCTTAAAAATTAAATACAGCTTAGCCGGTTAATTGCTGTGATCATAAAACACGGAAACGGCAGCACGCAGAACTCACGAGGCAACGTTTTACGCAGTGGTGGGCAGTCAGGGCCAGCAAAGCCTTCTCTGCTGGCCTAAACTTACTCAAAAACGTAAATGTATTTTTTTTTTCCTTTGGTAAATATTTTTTTCAATAAAAATATGTTCACTGGTCAATTTTCTTTTTATCCTATTATACCCACTTGGTTGCGCTGCTTCTAGTGTTGAAATACCAAGGTTGGGTGTTATCCAATCAGATTTAAGCTAGCTTGTGTTTTCAGGCAGATTAAGTCTGCTCTAGGCCTTCAGACTCAATCGAGAAGCCCACTGTCCGCTGTAAGTGAACAGAGACGAGCCAGTTGCGATAGCCAATCAGCTCACGAGTCAGCTTGGCCAGGGCCAGCTAGCTGGCCTCACGCAAAAGTTGACATGAACGCATCCTGTGATTGGATAAGCAGTAGTTTGAACTTTTCTAGCGGCATGAAGCAAAATATCAAAACTAAACACGGAGATAGGCAGCTATCGGTGTATTTTTGTACAAATGATGGCTGAAAGAGGAGAAGGGACGGACTTGGTGGCAGATTTACTTGCCACACCATTTTCAAGACGGACCTTTCAAGAAAAAATGGATCTTGTGAGAACAGGTCGTCCGACTCCAATGCTAGCTGGCTTGT